TTCAAATATATATATATATATATATATATATATATATATATACATATATATATATACAATTAAGACTGTCAGAAATGCAATTATTGATGATTCGCATTACTTAGCTTTTTGTTTAATTTTTCGATTTTTCTTTTGGTAAATCGTAAGTCATTGTCAAGTTTATTGAGTTCCAAAGTAAAATTTTTATTTAAGCGTGGATTCAAAACCAATTTTTTTTATTTATTTTTAGTATTCATTTATTTTATTTAAGAAACTTTACAATGATTTACGATTTACCGTTAAAAAAAATCGAAAAATTGAACAGGAAGCTAGCTAACGAGATTTTCATCAATGTATATATATGTAGTATATTATATATATATAATAATATATATATAGTATAATATATATATAATATATATATATATAGTATAATATATATATATATATATATATATACACACATGTGTGCTACAATTATGTTTTTAAAAAGGTATTACGTTTAAATTTAGTTCGATCTCAAAGAAGCTTGAAAATGAGCATTATGATAATATTTTACGGCTGCATAATAAAACATTACACTATCGCCTGCAGAAACAGAGGAAAATATAAAACTGCTGTGAAGTTTCAAGACTAAATGGTATATAAATAAATAGTAGGTTCTCATCTCTCCGTAACAACAGCCATCAAGCGCAATCACATTCCGACCGTTTGTATCAATTTTCGTTTTGTTTATTTTTGTTGCACTTTTGAGAGATGAACACGGATCAAATTGATCTCGTATGGATATCTTCATCGTCTTCACATTCATTCGAACAAAGAAAATAAGTATCGGATATCAACCTTAGATGCTCGGATTTCTCGAAACGCAATTCATCAGATGTTTAATACTCTTACAAATGTTAACACTAGCTAGAGATTTACTTAAAAAAACAAAAAAAAGCCAGCAGGTAAAATGTTTAACGTTGTGTTTCTGGACGGATTTTATGAACAACCCGTCCATCATGTACAACTTGTTCCTGCCAACTCCAATGAAACTCACCTACAGTCCCGACAAAGTTGTCCTGCTGGGAACTGAAACCGGGATGATCAAGTTAGAAAGGAAATTTTTTTTATTTAAAAATTTTTTATGTAAAAAACCTTAGAAATTGTTGTTAAGACAATTAAAATATTGAAATGAAGTTTTGCTACCAGTCAAGTTCGGAGCATTATGTTTGGTATATTGTTTCCAGAGAGGAAATAGAAGAAAATTAGAGTTTGTATAGCAATCTGCACATTTGTGGAATAACAGGGAATAAATCACTTAGCGGTGATAAGCTGTTTACATGCATTGCTGAAAATATCTTGCTTTTTAAGACGCTGCGATCTTCATTCGATGTTAAATGTTGTTTGTGTTACATGAAGATTAATTCAAAAGTGCTGGGAGGTAGAAAAAAAATCAAAATTTTTATTTTGATAAAGGGTTTGTTGAAAGAATTTAAATAATGTAATAATCCTACTATGAAATCAGAATGCACATCTGCTCGCTGAACGCTGCATTATCATCAATTAAGTATCCTGCCATGGTGCGTGCAGCTCGTCATGTATGAAGTTTTGATGCAGCAGATACAATTCGTCTAAAATAACAATCACTAATCTTGTTTATGGAAAAAATTTAGATAAAAGTAAATATATCGTTCGTGCACGCACACACCCTTCAAATGTATATGTGTGTGTGTTGTGTGTATGTGTGTTGTGTGTGTGTTGTGTGTGTGTGTGTGTGTGTGTGTGGTGGGGTGTGTGTATTGACTACTATATTAGCTTGTTTAAAAAAATTTGTTAAATGTTATTTATGGCCGAAAAGGTAATACTGTTAGGATTATATTTGACGTTGTAGCGGCAGTTGTTGAATTAATGTTGGTGTTTGCAAACGAAGTAAATAATAGCAGGTAGTGTTGTAAGTTAAGTAGTCTCATCATATCAGTCACTCAATCTAGCATAATAACATTTACTTTCTTACCCTAGAATTTTCATTGTTTTTTCAAGAGTGTCTGAGTCGGAAATATGTAATCCGACTCTGACACTCTGGTTTTTCGTTGTGTTAATTTTTTTTTTGTTTGATGATATATTTTCACTTTTTTGAGAAGAGGTTTTCTTGTGATCAGTTTCCATAAAATAATGAAAACATGATTACTTCTACTACCACAAACAATAATAATAATAATAATTGTTATTATTATTGTTATTATTATTAATAATAAAATTGATAGTAATAGTAAAGATTATTTGCACTGCTCTAACCGATTGAATTTTAGGGACTTTGTTTCTTTGATACAATACAAACTTCTTTCAAATCACCAACCTGTTTCAGACGTATATATAAAATGATTTTTAACGTTAAACAAGATATTGCATCAGCAAACACTTTCCTAGTGTAGAGTTAGTTGTGATAGGAATATCTCAAAATATGTCATTTTCTGACAATTTTTCACACGGTTCATTGAAGTGTGTTGAGAAAAATAACGTTTTTAAAGAAGTGTGATAATGCTGGTGGATGGCCATAGTAATAGTAATAGCAATAATAAGAATAATAATAATAAGAAAAAGAAGAAGAAAAATAATGATAATGAAGATGATGATGGTGATGACGATAATGATGATGAGGATGGTGATGACGATAATGATGATGAGGATGGTATGGTAATAAGGTGTTGAGAAAATAACAATTTAGAAAAAAAATTAACATCGTGCAGTAAGATCCTTTTTTCTTTTCTCTAGCAAAATTACTATTATAGTAACTAATAAAACAGAGAAATAATGTTAATACACAAATAAATAAATAAAAAAAATATATTAAAAAAATAATACATATCTTCTCAGTTTGGTATGCATTTTGAAATTATTTAAATAAAATTTATATTATGTAATCTAAATGGTTTTTAACGGTAAAAACTTTTCACATTCATTAATTTCAAATTTTAGTTTAACCCTTCGAGAATGACAACAAGGTTTATTGGAGATCCACACAACTGTGATGTTAACCTGAAGGAAGAGTTTAAATAACGTAATTACATGTATGCTAAGATATTGTGAGATCAAAAGTAAAACGTCGGAAACGACAGTTTCAAAAAAACGTTTCAAAAAAATTCCTATGTATTGATGTAACATAGGAATACATTTGATCGCGAGAATACACAACACTACTTCATTCATAGGAAGATAATTGTAACGTAATGATATTAGGTTGCTCTACAAATGCATCCATACGCTATTTACTTTCAACGCAACATTTGTTTGCAATTAATTACCATTAGGTTGAAAACAGCTAAAAAATCACTAGAATGTTTTTTTGTATAACGTGTGTACGTGTACGTACAATGTATATAAGTGAGCGTATAACACGTAAAAATGCACAATATGTATATATATATATATTATATAAATATATATATATATAAATATATTATATATATATATATATAATGCTTATAAAGTTTTGTGTAATGAAGCTGTATAAATAGTAAAGGCGAGGGTGCTTTATTGAAAGAATGTTATTGCGTTTGTTTAAATATGTGTGCTCATTATATGTATATATATATACATATATATAATATATATATAATTATATATGTATAGTATATTATATATGTATATATATCTTTATGATGTTTCGAGAATAGAGCGTTAGTCTAACTAAACAAAATGGATGTCCGTGTGGTCGATATTTTTTCGATTTAGAAGATGAGTATGGTTGGTTTTCTTGGTTGAAGAGAGGGAGATATGCCGTGTAGGGGATGCATAGAAATGATGCGGTAGATAGATTTGACGTGGGAGAATGGTTTGAAGCGTTGGATAGTTTCGATGTGTATAGTGTGAGTGATAAACATATTTTTCCATAAGCGTAAACAAAAGCGCTTCAGATGCTTTCTTCTTTAGTTGTATCATACCTCTTCAAGTCTACAGAGAGAACATTCCACAACCAAGCAGACGCCAGAAAAAATTCATCGTTCAGCACAGAGAGTGGTATGAAATTTTAGAAGTACCCCCATAGCCATTCCAAACATCTGAATTTATTTTATAACTTTGTATAAGGTCAAATAAAATATTTGTTTATATTACATTTATTTGTAATGAATGTTGTCTAGATATGCCACTGATTGCACTACTCAATCTTGTGCATATTTCAACCCGGTTGATTTCACTCTAAGGCAGGGTACCTACCGCCCTGTTAATTTAAAAACTGTAATTGATCAAACCATGTTAAGAAAAATAGTTTGACGTGGTTTTCCATTAACACTACGACATCCAAAATTACTCCAAGATTAGATCGCATGTCTTGAAATAAAAAATAGTCGTTAACTTCTAGTAAAGAATCTCGTTAACATTTCGTAAAAATTCTAAGCCATCCCCACAGATAATTTCTGACTCCGCCACGGAAGACGGTATTAGGTATTTAAAGTATGCCGCATTGAATATATTGTACTTTCATGTTAAAATATAACAAAATATAGATTTTAATATAATAAATAGTACGTGCAATATTAATATGATATTTCAATAAAAGACAATATTACCATCATCGCCGTCAAATGTTTTTTTCTTTTATTACTATTATTAGCTTTTATGAAGAATATAAATGAAGATGGATTATTCCTCATTACACCTGCCGTTAATTTTATAGCAAAGTATATTTATTCATGTATTGAAAATTTTCATATCATTCCAGCTTGCAAATTCATTCCATCAAGAGACAGAGATAAATGTTTTATTATTTTATTCAACTTTTTTCATTAAACCAATTATTCCTTTGCTAACTTAAAATCGGAATGGTTCTAATTCAACAGAAACTGATAATTTCCTAATTGTTCATTGTGTTATTTAGATCAAACTGCTGCAATCAAGCATCCTATCCATACGTTGCAATCCTCCATCAAGCAGTAATGAATGACTAAATAATAAATTAAATCTAACCATTAAATACTTTTTTCTAAGCATGGTTTAACATTTTCTCTAGTCAGATTATGGTGTCAACAGTTGATGACATGGAGCTTTTCCACGATGAGATAATGGGCCTTCCTCTGCTCATGAGAATTTGGGTAGAATACAATCGGAATGAATATATAGGAGCATCTTATGACGGCCCTTATTTTGAAAGTACGCTTTCACATTTTTTATTATATTTTTTATTTATAAAATCTTTTTTCCCAATTATTTGAGTTGAGATACAATACAACAAACATGCGATAAGTCTTGTTTACCAAGCATTTGATCAAAAATACATCCCTCAACCATCAGTCATTTCGAGAGCTCTTATATTTGTTGTGTAACGATATAAGTGCGTTAAGCCGGTAAGGAAAAGAAATTTTAGGTTAGATGTAAACAAATCATTCAACTAATCAATTTGTAAATTATGAGCTATTTTTTCTAGACGCAATTTTCAACAATTTACAAAAATTTAGCGCTAAATTGTAAACTGCCAAATACGCATCATGCACTTTAGAGCATGACAGATAGATGGAAATCATACAGCATTAGTTTTATCAGCCGACAGTCTATTTTTCAAATCAGCTTCACCAAAGAGTATACAGCTTGGAAGTTAAATTGATGAATGTTTTGTGACGCACCTTATTTGTTAGTACAGGTTTATAAATATTTTGCCAACATTGCAGGTGATATGGCTTTGTTAGTCGATACGTCTCATCCAATGATTTATCCTGAATTCCAAAAAGGCATCGAATGGGCAAAAAAATCTATTCAATCCAAAAAAAAATTTTGTTTGCAGGTTTTTTGTTTTTTTTTATATTAACCTTTGTTCACCATTTAACAAATAAAAAATAAACTACATTAATACATAAATTTATTAAATTTACTCTTTAGTTTTCGAATGTGTTTTAGTTACTTGATAGCACTTATTCCGTCGGCTATTAGATCGGACAAGTGTTATGCCTTGTGTTTTTATTACGAGCTGATAGTTCGAACCGTGTCTTTCCGAAAAGTGCCCTAGAAAAATAGACTATGAATCACAATTAAAATGCAATGTATCTTATAATAGGACATATAAGATGCTTGAAATAATTTATTTAATTATGCAAATATACATTCTTTTAATGTTCAGTTTGACTTTGGTCCTTCCATTGAAAATTGGCTGTCAAATAACTACCCTCAAACCTTTTACACATTCAAAATACTGAAGAATCATCAAGCACGACTCTATGTTACTAACTTCTGCAAGCCAAAACATTGTTTCGACTGCAGCGTGTTGTGGTGTTTTTTATTGGGACCATGTTGGCTTTTTTCGGCTCCATGCTATAAGGTATTTTTTTAGATTTTTGATGAATCATTTAACTTTTTAATGAAAATATATTCATAGTGTTTTTATCTTCTTTCCATGCAATAAATTTTATATCTAAAAATCGAATCAACGCGATAAAAACTGCTATATTTGGAACAATTCATAGATATATTTTGGTTAAGCCAACACCCATTTTTAAATGTGTTCATTAACAACCATCAATATTGTAATAAAAAATTATGTAGAAAATTACTAATAATTTTATCAAAATCTGGAGCTGTAATTAATAAAACGAAACCCTTAAACAGTATGTAAAAGACATAAGACCATGTATACAACAAGACCATGTATAATTAATATACATGTTCATGTTAGCGACTCCAATGCAGCCTTCGAACGTTCAAATTAATTTCTGTTCAAATTTTTTCGAGCTTCAATAGGACATAATCGCGCCACACTTATAAATGCTTCTGTTATATACACGATCGAGATCCAATAAAATAAAACTTACACGTTTCAAATGTCAGTTTAAACATTAAAAATTAACAAACGATTACTGCGAAATTGCCCAATTTTAAAATTTATTTTGTTCACCCCCGCCCTTCTGTTGTGAAGACAACACATCATCCGCCTTCACAGAATTTTAAATTGAAATTGCTCTATCGTACCTTTCCATCATATACACTCTTTCTACTTGAAGAAAAAGAAGCAACGAAGTCACGCGTCCTTTATAATCGATGCAGGAAGACTCCAGCGGGCGATTGTTTAGTTACAGCGTAAAAATACTTTGTAATGATGTAATTGCTCCCAGATCAGCATTCAGAATAAACGCTTCCATTTAACGCTCATTATATAAATATTACTAAATATTTTGCAAAAAATTAATTGCAGTTGTACAGAAAGCTTCAATGCAAAGATCTAATCATCCAATTCAACGTTCCTGTCGTCAGGAGAACTGCACTACCCACCGGAGCATGTATTGAGCTCTCTAAATAACTAACTGTATTCATTCATACTTGTTTTATTCGTTACATTTTCGTTGTTAAAAATGTCAAATTTTTAAACTGCCTATTTTTTATAAAAAATATAAATACAGTAAAATATTCTTTATTAGTTACATATGAATATATTACACATATTACCGTTAAAGAAAATCGAAAAATTAAACAAGAAGCTAACTAACGCGAATATGCTGTGAATTTCGTCAATAATTGCACACATACGTATATATAATACATAAATCAGACCGGTAATTTAAAAAATCAGTATCGATGTTTCAATATAGGTGACAAAAAGAAAACTATGCCGGTTAATAAAACAGGAACCGATACAAAAAAAAATTTAGCTCTAGTGTCGCCATAAATCTACCGACGTATTTTTGTTATTAATAACATTAAAAAATTTGTAAAGCCTTTCGAGCTAGAGATGCTCAGTAAATACGATGACAAATTTACACAAACATGATTGTTGCTTACCTATGAATTTATTCCTGCAAATTTCTAAAGTACAAATACAAAGATATGATCATGCTTAATTTGGTTTAAGTGTTGACGTCTTTTAAAAAATTAAAATAGTTGAAAGAGCAGTCCTAAAGATCTTCGCTGAGTTATAGTAGTTTCAAATCTTCCCAAGTTTTTAAAGCATACGTGCGATTTGACGTTAATGAAACATTTTAATTACGATTTAATTACTATTTTTCATACTTTTTTATCCTCCTTATACATTTTTACTCAAATGTTCAAAATATTGCAACTTAACATGTTTGACAATAACTGTACACAATTTTCATTGCATGTAAACATAATTAAAAGTTATTTCACAAACTAACTATAGAAGCTAATTTACACAAACAATTAGGCTCAAGCAAGCTAAAATGTTAAATAATTTTTTTCACTGTGAAAATTTTTAGTGAATTGGTTTTCAAAGTATTAGTGAATTTTTAGCACAGGTCAGTTTCTAGAAAGCCGGTATCGGTAACAAAAACCAATTTTGAAACGTGATTAACGCCCAGTCCAATACATGTATACTATATATATATATATATTTATATATTATGACAGAGAAAAACGAATAGACAAGCAATAGTCTGCATGATGATATGTTGCAACAATAAGTAACAAGTTGGAAAAATCTGAATACATGTTATAAAATTCATAATAACAATTACACGAAAGTACTGACAAGGCAATAAAAATGATTATTAGAAATCATTACAAATATATATAATTGATTATGAACGAATAGAAGTAAATAAATAAGGCATAGAAAAGATTGGAGGTTCAGGGTTGGAAATGTTATGCAATATATATTAATAACTTAATATAAAATTATATAAAAATGCAATACTTAATGAAACATGATATAACATTCAAAAACGATTTTATGTAGAGAATGAATAACTAAATCTCCGTCGTCAGAGAAAATGGCTTTTCAGGACTTGGAATTTTTTTAGCTTGTAAAGCGATCATATCTACATCATTCTGTCGCAAATAAAAAAAATTAATTTAAATTGTTACCACTAAAAATTAAATTTAATTATCATTTAAAATTATTTGAAAGTAAATCTACCGACAAATAATTTATTGAACTACAATGGAAGGTTGCAACCGAAGATATATAATGAAAACGCTAATGATTTCAGCTTCTAGAAGTCAGCTGATTGGTAATCAATAATTTTGTCACATACCACATATACACAAACAAAAGCACACACGCGCACTCGAACGCGCAGTTACACAATTGTGCTGTTTTGCCCTTTTACTTTAACGATAAAGGCACGTGATTGTGATAGTCTTCATTTGCCATATTTTCACTAGCTTCATTTTCATGTACCGTGCCTTATTCAGCGGCCGCAAACTAAGTTAATAAGAGCAGAATTAAAATTTATTTTTTAATATCGTAAATAAGATAACATCTCGGAACCTCGAAGTTTGAATATCATAAATTGTTCATCAAAATGAAAATACATCAAAAGCCTAAAAAAACTGAGATATTAAAGGAGTTCAAACGAAAGTTTAGCTTGAGAGTCATCCCAAGATACAACAGAGTTGAGATATAGGTACAGGTGACTATTCAGCTTAAGAAATATTTTGAATGATAAATAATATATAGTTGAGACGCAGGGATGGTATGTGAACAAACCAAGTTTGAGTAAAAGAACAAGCATAGAAATCATCAGCAGACAGCTGACACAAGAGGGAAAAATGCAATAACACTAGGTAACACGAAATAATTCAGATGCGTCAATATGAAAATAAAAGAATCAAGGAGATAACCATGACAAAAAGAGTAATTAGCATCTGAATTCGAGAGATATACTCATACATCAGAAATATAAATAAACCTAAATCAGAAACACTGAAAGTTTTGTCGCACTAAAACATCATGAATTTTAAAAAAACCTTTTGCTTCCAAATAAGTTTTATATATCCTAGGCACTGAGTTTTCAAATAAGAATTCTGTCGACTTATTCAACTCACGCAAATCACGTAAATATTATTTAATGTTACATTTTGAAATAATTGAAAAATGTTTTATATTAAAAAAAAGAAAAATGTTTACCATTCCCTGAAATTTTGATTCCTTTTGACTAGATATCTCGCAACCTCTGCTGACAAAAATGTTCATTAAAATTGTTAAGAAATATGAATGGCAAAAAAGAAACGCTAAATTTATGTTCATATGCGGTGTAGGCTGTTATATTTTACAAGTAACGTCACCTATGAGATACAATGAAACACTTAGCAGTGGCAGATCCAGAACTGTAAAGTGGAGTAGAGATGATTAATAAAGTTGACGATCCCTTTTTTTTTGCTTATTCGTCACCAATTTTTCATTTTTTCTACATAACTTCAATACTACTCAAAACAGAGTTAAAACCATGTTGAAAAGTACGAAAATATTCAGTGTGGGAATACAACCCGATATCTACCCACTGGATTCGTCACTGTTGAATTTGAAACAAATACCATACTAGGACGACCAAATATGTTACACATTATAATTTTTTTCCTATAGTATCAGTGGCGGGCCTCTGGATCCGCCACAGATACTAGAGAGTTGACATAAATCTGATAGTAAAAGGAAGAAGCGTAAGGTCAGATGGAAATGATAAATTTAAAATCGGCAAAATGATCGGGAAAAATCAGATATTTCAAAAACAATTATTCAATGTATTGTAGCTTATGGGACGATTTTGAAATGTTTGTGAATACATTGCAAATAGCTGAAAGAATTTCGTTAAAATGAATTAAATGCAAAATATTAAAAAATCATGGTAAGTCTATTGTTTCCTGCTCTCCGAATTTAATAAATAAGACGAATCTCTAACAAGTGTGCAAAATATTTGCCAAATAATATATTGAACACACCTTATTTCTTTGACGGTATCATGTAAGAACGGGTCTTGCCCTATAACAGAATGAGAGAAATAAAAAAACTAACAAAGAGCATTTAACATGAGAAGTGAAAATTATTCATTTAATTACATTTTCACTGAAATATGTGTTCAAACAAAAAGAAACTTAAAAAAGAAATTGAAATGTGAGCACGTGGCCTATCTGCTCTTGGTACCTGCTCTATTCTTTAATGTCTCCGAATTCTGAGATGGAAAAATAAAAAATATTTCTGATAGGTCCACATATTTGAATGAATGAAAATTAACAAACCAGGATTAGATTATCAAGACGTTCCACTGCAGAAGAAACTAAAGCATCATTTTGAGTGTTCCTTCAAAAAAATGTTTAAAAAATAAATATGTAAATTCACATTAAAACCATGGTTTGTTAAGAACATTATTATTTCATGTACATTCCGACAACAGTATATTAATGTTTTAAAGATTCTTGAAAATTATAGGTTTAATCATTTATTGCAATTACTTGTTAATAGCTGATGCATCAGTTTCATATCGTTTTGAAAATTTCTGACTAGGTTTCCTTTCAAATTTAACACTTCTTCGAGCTTTACTCATAGTAGCAGATTGAAATTCAGTTCGACCACTTCAAAATAAGAAAGAGTCATTAATTTAATGCACTGTTTAATTTAGATTTAGATATAAACCTGTATCTGAATCTAGACCCAATTCTCAAAAACATCTGTTTCTGGTTGGTATCTTTTCTTGAAGTTCTCAGCCTAAAGAATGTGTGGTGTTCAACTGCACATTTCCATAGATGTTTGCAAGCTTTGTCGTTTTTCATTCGGAATAAAAACGTATGTTCTTGCTCCCTACCCTGTATGCAGGGAAAAAGAAAGTTAAAAAAAACTGTTAAGTTTTACAACAAAAATGAATTTGAAATGATTAATACAAATATTTACGTTACAAACTGATATAATAATCGACTTTTCTTAAACCCTAACTATGTTCCATAGGAAGAAAAATATGTAACATTGAAGAATTCAAATAAAACTGAACTTCTGATAGGGTGAATGTTACATATTATGTTTTATTTCAAATTTTAAATTTATCTTAAATAATTACTAAACTTTTAACAATATTTTTGAAAAAAAATAATGTACTTGATCATTGTCTTCCAGTACGACAAGCTTTAATTTTGTTTTTTTGAATTGAAGTTTCGTTATTTTTGGCCTAAAAAAATTACTTATTAAGTTAAATTGTAATATGATTTAAAAAATGTTTACTCACCAAAAAAATAGTCCTATCTTTTCTACTTTTTCAAAAATAAGAATTCCAGTCGGTGTAAGTCCAAGCATGTATTCATTATCGTCTCTACCCTTGAATAAAAACGTCACAATTGAAAATTGAATCACGTTATTAATCTTGCAATAACTTTCACTCTCCCACGCTGAAGACTCAATTTTAAACCAGTTTTAGCCATTTTTCACTGAACCTCATTGTGTCAATCAATCAATCAATCTTCGTTTTGCGTCCAGAGACCCGGTTTCCCGAGGCAGGACTAAACCTCATTATGTAATTATTTTTTCTTGACATATCTGTTCTTGATTCACAGATTAATTTTATATCACTTAAACTAAATCAATTACAATTTAAGCTGATTTTTTCCATTGCGTGAGCTACGGTAGAACTTATTTTTTCTTCTTTCTCAGTTAAACTTCTCTACTTTCATACATAGTCCTAATTTTAAATCTGATCAAAAGTTTCACTCTTGAATCAAATTTAATTGGTCTTTCGAATTTTCCAACATTTTAATTTTTATAGAAATGCTTTTATCCAATCATTGGTCCATGTTCTTATTAAACTAGACCACCTGGTCATTTTTTGCCTCATGCACATTCTGAGACCACAATGAAGTAGCCAATCCTTGATGAAAATCTCAACTCAAGTCCGCCTGATATTATGAGAAAACTCACCAAAATACTACCTTTTGCTACATTATTCCAACTCTTATTCTGCCTGTCTATAAATTATGCAATATCTATAACTTTCGCTAAAAGTACCCAAAATACTAACCCAAAAAACTCCACCTTTTGCTACATTATTCCAACTCTTATTCTGCCTGTCTATAAATTATGCAATATCTATAACTTTCGCTAAAAGTACCCAAAATACTAAACTCCACCTCTCCAACTAATTTAATTTCAAAATAGTAGCTACTTGTCCATTAAATCTCTTCTCGTTCATATTATCTCCCCTTCAGCAAGCTCATCTACTTTCATACTGGTCACTCTCTGGCTGGAGTGATTTACCATCAAAACCCTATTTCAAGTCATTTGGGAGTTTTGACGACAGCTAGAGGCACATTCGTTCCTTTAATAAGAAAAGATGGAAACGGATAACCGTTTTGATTTGTTTAAATTTGTTGATTTGATTGGTTTGATCGTAGTTATGAATTTTGTTAGTCTTGAGCATCTTTGTAGCTTAGTCCTTAGAACATAGAGAATATAAACTGTACTGTTTTAAAATGAAAAACGTTACTCAGAGCTTTGCTACAATAAATTTAATTTCGAGACTAAATATGTTTACAAATTATATAGTAATCTGAAGTTAAAAACCTCTGAAATTGCCTAACCCTATTTAATGTGAACAATTAAAAAAAATTTTTCTTTGAATATTTGGCTAAATATAAATTACTTGTGAAAAACCAAACAAAGACAATATAATTACCATGACAGAATGCATATCAACTCCGTATAGTTCTAACCATTTTGCTTTGTTTAAGTAACCTAGTTCAGCCTGTGCCGGTGTTTGTCCCCTAAAATTTGTTATACATACAAATATCAGAAATTGCAAGTCAAATTTAGAGCTTTATTTATAAATACTTGTATGTCTTAAACTTTTCAATGACATCTTTTTCAAATTCTTCACTTTGATTATCCACAAATCGAAATTCTGACACAAAGCTTATATCATGAACTTTGCTGTCGAAATCTCCAACCTCAGCTGAACAGTGAAGCAATATTTAAATACAAATTAATAAATATGTAGGATATGAAAAATTAATTTAAGTTGCTATGGGGAAGCAAAGTCAAATTGCAAGCAATGCAGTCACAACTTCAGACGTTATTCAATTCTACATAAACACAAATATCTGAACAAAAGTCAAAATATCATAACACAACATATGAATCATGTAATCATTGGTAGATTAGATAGATAACGCAGTATCTTCTTTCTGTAATGTGTGTGAACGTGACATATTAATAATGAGTCACAACACAACTTTCGTTTGTAAAAATTACATTGATACGTCTATCAATATATGAATATGTGTATAGTCAAGCTGTGTGTGACTGTGTGTGTGTGTGTATGTGTGTGTGTGTGTGCGATTGACTGTGAGTATTGTGTGTGTGCCCGTGTGGCTAAGTCCCAATGACGAAATATACAAACCTAAACCTGATGTGTTTTTCTTGTGTGGGGTTAAAATATTATTTAACAGATATGCAATAATCACCAACACTGAAGTGCTAATGCAGCAAGTTCGACAGAGGTTTCATATGAACATTCTAATCTGCCCTCCAATATGTCTTGCTTCAGCTGTAAGAAGAACTGATACCTATTTAATTTTAAATTAGCATTGAAATTATTACACAATTTTGATGGATAAAGGCAAAATAACATGCAAAAAAATATTATCATTGAGTTTAAATCACAAGGTAATTTTTCACTTGTGCACATGTTGATATATGTTTATAAGAATTTTTGAAATTATGAATGATTTAAAAAGAACTTTTAAATTGTGGACCTTAAACTATCTTTAGTGGATACTTATGTAAGAATATTTGAGGAAAAGTTCTTTCTTATTAATAGTTAACTCTTTTATTTGTGAAATAATCACATAAAAGTGATTTGTTGAGCTCAGACCACAACGATATTTTTTAAAACAAAATTTTTAAAATTAGCCCAGTCTTTCAATGCTATATTATATATAAGAAGTAATCCTCCCAAAACTTATTAACTTGCTAGGTGTTTTCATAGCTGGAGATCTCTGATATCAAGAAATAATAAAAAGAAATACAATAAGTCATGAAAATCATTTAAATCCGGACGAAAATCAGGTAGTGTTGCATTGGAAATTATTGCAGGTTACCAAAAATTAATGTCATCAATACACACTGATTAATAAACAAAACGATTTTGCTCCAATAGTGACATGAGTGACAAAGTTGGGATAAAAAGACTTTGTGAGCTGAAAAGACAAAAAAACATGAAAAAATATCTAAATTTGGGTTGTTTGTCGAGTTCGGAAAAAGTCAGGATGAATGAGAAATTTGTGAAATTATAATCCGGAATTGTGATGTGTGTGAGGTCTGGTAGATGAAAATTTTCAATCTATAAACATTATCATCACTTTTTATGTACCAAATATTAAAGAAAATTAAAAGTAAATAAAAAAACTAAATAACAAAAATAGATTAAAACATGAATGAATGGAGCAACTTGAAAAACAGTTATTTACACAAAATTCACCTTGTAAGTTCTTCATGTAAATTGCTAGGCTCGCTTGTATAAAATTTGACTTGAAATTTGAAGCAATAAACTGCAATTGTCATAAAATATAATTTGAATCCAAAATAAATTAATATTAATATCAATAAAACTCTTCTTTTCAATTGTTATAAAATATATTCTGAATCAAAAATATATTAATAATATTAATATCAATAAAACTCTTCTTTGGAGATAGTAAAATCTTTAGTAAATAAATATATTTTTGTACTGATTGCATGCATTGCATAGGACAAAAAAAAACTTGAGAACAGAATTTCGGCATTAGAAAAATCAATAAGTGGCAGACTGGGTTGGCCCCAACCGTACTGATTACTGACACATTAGTTGGTTGTATTTTTATGAATGGAGTGTTGTTTAGCAAAGACGATAATGATGATACAATGATACAAACATAGGCATTTGTGCTTATGGTTTCAAGAGTTTTATTAGGTATAGTGTATTATAAAACACAACAACAACACACGTTTAGACGACATTTTCCCCGAGATTGCCGTTTGGCTACCTATGATGAAACCGAAATACCCCCCGATGATAGTGTATTATAAAAGTTTATTTTTAAAACATTTTATAATTTAATGAAGCAAAACAATACTTTTATCTTTTGGATGTAACTGCTTTTTAATTTTCTTTGTTGAATCAAGCCATTGCTAAAAATAAAAAAGTTAGAAACTTTTTCAACTAAATCATGAAAAAATAAGAAAATATACAATATATATGAAAAAAACACGACTTTCAAGATAACAAAAATAGTTAGAAACAACCAAGGATCCTATCAATCATTTCTAAGAGAGGTAATTTCAAGAATATCTCAGCTTGATGTGACAAAATGAGATGAACATTTTTTTTGAAGAGTAATGAATGAGAAATTTATAAACAAACGTTTCTGCAGAACAACAAAAACCAATTAACTACATTTAAACAATGCAATAAGCATCATTTAAGCCTAGAAAAGAATCAAACCTAACAAAATTAATTATAAAAATTTAAGTAAACCTTGACATTGTATGCATCCAAGTATTGCAATCCAAAATAATCAACTTCAATCAAATCAAGGTAGAAAAACACTTTCTCGTATAATAAAGATCCATGGCAATTTTTCTGCAATTGGAAGATTCATTTATCTAAAAATATTTGATGTTGTAAAATATTTCATGTCCTTATTTGTTGTTGATCATTCCAACCAACAAAATTAAATCCCTGAAATTCAACTACTCATTTCATTTAATACAAACCAACTGTCAATTATTATTATTGGATAAGAAGTTAAATACAAATGGAAGTAAAGTCAAAAAATTGAAAATGATGTATGTATTGAAAATGACGCCACAATCTTGAAAAATAATTTTTAATAAAAGTTCTTAATTAAAATCAGTAGATGAAATTACATGATCTGAAAACTGGAATAGTCCAGATAATTTTAGGCCTAATCAAGATTATTTTTAATAAAATATTTAATGAAAGGCATGTGAAGCAGACACAAATAAAATTAAAATCATTAGATCCAAATGAACACGAAAAAAATTGACAGAATTAGTCTGATTTGAATATTTAAATAAAACGTAAAAGAGCTTCTCACATTTTATTAGCTGACGATTTTACATTCATTTTTTATATAACATCATATTATTTTATTACTGATTTTTTGAGGAGTATTATTATCAGGGGTCTTAATTCATTTCAGGGGTCTTAATTCAAATTAAACTTAATGTTGAAAATCATTTTTAATTTGCAGTTCTTTAAAAAGCTCCAATTAATAAATAATAATAAACCACTCAAAAGAATGGACTTTCAAGTATAAAAAAAAGTATAACCAAGTTGACAATAGCCAAACCTCAAGTAAACCAGTTTTACTACATAACATCCTAACACAAGCAAAAACAATTATCTTCAGCCTTCAGAACCAGATGACCTAACTAATCAAAACAACAAGGACAAACACCATATAGCATAAAAATTTAAAATTCAATAAATTAAAGGAAATCTGTTCAGACAAAGTATTTTAATAAAAAGGAATTAAAGAATTAAATCCGAAAATGTTACATAACTGTAATTTCAGCTATTTTATTATGATCCTAATGCATATTTATGAAACATTCCAAACCAATTCTATTTATTCAACCAGGGCTGAAAGATTATTTACATATACATATGATGCTAGCAAGTGCTAAAAAATTCAGTGATTTTTGTTTTCCATTAGTATTATAATTGTTTCCATTTAATTTGTGCATTTAAATATGTAATCTGTTAATAAGCATTAGCTATGTCAATATGAAATTTTGTCATTCTAAGGAAGAAAATGCATAGGAATGATGAACCTCCTCATTTGAATATTGCCGTTAGAAACATTAATTGTCAGAGGTTGCATAATTTTTGTTTAAAATACAACAAATTCTGGCTTTTTAATAAAATGTAATAAAATAACTCAGTCTTCATTGTAACAATGTTGAATTAAAGATTTTTCTAAAATTTGATTTATGAAAAATTCAACTTTTAATTAATTAGTTAATATTATTATGAAGAAATTTTGTTGAATCACTCAATTTGTCAATAATGAAATGTTTTTTAAGAATTTTATATTGAAAATTAATCACAAAAAATGAAGTAACCAAAATTTTAAAATAAAACTTTCAATTAAAAATAAATAAAAATTATAAAATTAAAATTTTACAAAATAATAGAAATAATTAACATTATTACATTAAATTTAAACTATATCATTACTGAATTTTAAAATAAATTTAACCATATTTAATTAAAAATGAAATTTAAATTAAAACAAAGTTATTAAATTATAAATGAGTAACAAACTAATCAACAGAAAACCATACATATTTTTTAACAAAACTAATAGACAAGTTTAAGTTAGGTTGTTAGTTAGGGCTTAGTAAGGATACTCACCGAACTGAACCAACATATATTATAAACAAATGAGAGTGAACATGAACTAAACACTGAACCTAACCAGCACCAACAGGGAAAATGATATTTATATAACAAACCGGCAGAAATGTTTCAAAGAAGGTGCCATCGAGAAGAAGAACTTTACAGTGAAGTTTATTTTTATCAACTTGAGCCAAATTCGTTGAATCTCTCGAACTACGGGATCTTCTTCTAATAAACAAATCGATGAAAGAAGACATCTTAACTTAACTTAATAACAACAAGCTGTTGACAAAAGTTCTATACAGAATCACTCGCCGATAATTGTACAATGACAAGAAAATGTAGAATGCCACTAAACTTAATACTGTTTTTGTATTCATTGTTGTCATATATATCATATAATTAGAATAAATATATATAGAATGATAAGTATATTGTCGTTGTTCCATATCATATATAATTGTCAACTGCTCTATCAAACTAATATATAAGATCAAACTACAATGGTTCGTTTGAGTGAACGAGTGCCTTAGCCCGGAAGCCATAAAATATATATAACACCGTAATCAACATTCTTTACTTCTTCCAATTTGACTAAATGCTTATTAAGAGCTTTCTTAGCATGGATATATATATCCATGTTTCTTAGTGGCGATTCAAAAAGTAAAGAAGAATACAAGAAGATATTTCACCAGCTTACCAGGATTTTATCTACGAACAAAAAAACGATGTGAACCTGACGCACTTTTCACGCAAACCAATTCTTAGCAATAATCATAAAAAATCACAACCGATTTTAAAATTGGGATTAATATTGTTACCAAATTAGTTTTCAAAAACCTTTCCTGGTATTTCCATGGATATATCCATGGGATTTCTGTATTTCGTGACGCAATAACGAAAAGCAACGAGTTATTAGTAAGAATGGTTCACTTTTAGTTAATGTTTTTTGTTTTCTCCCGTTAGTGTTTAATTTTATCGCGTGGGATGGCTTCTGTTAAACTTGAAAATGCAAATCCTTCAATTTTTAAAAAAGCACAAGAAAGAAAATTATCTTTCAACGATTTAGATGATAATGTTAATGAATCGTTTGATGCTAGAGAGATTTTTGACATATCCTTTTTGTTTTTTTTTAGTATGGTTTGATTAGTTTTTTTGTAGTAGTTGACCATATGATCATATCGTATATCTATATATACTATAACTATATATAAATATATATATGATATAAATAATTATAAGTTAGATAATAATGTTAATGAATCGTTTGATGCTAGAGAGATTTTTGACATATCCTTTTTGTTTTTTTTTAGTTTGGTTTGATTAGTTTTTTTGTAGTAGTTGACCATATGATCGTATCGTATATCTATATATACTATAACTATATATATATGATATAAATAATTATAAGTTAAATATAAATACAATAATTCAGGCTACGCTAGCCAGTCACAAAAGAAAAGATGCTAGTGTAATCTGCAATGGTAAAGTGCCTTGGTACTGCTATTGATTCCTAATGTTGTTTGGTCTTTTATTGCAAAGATATCTATACCTATCACAAGCATTGTATTTGGTTGATGATGTCTGAACCAAAAAGTATTGAAGAATTGTAATAAGTAAATAAATATCAAAGAGAATGGCACTGATTTAAAAGATACAAAATCAGAGAGCAATCAGAGAGGAAAAGCAATCTTTTTAAAGTAAAGACCTTGTAGAGGCTAGGTTCTACCTCATCCTACTTAGGGTAAGCATCTGTCTGTAGGAGGTGAACTACGATCTCAGAAAACTAGTTTTTGGTCACCCATAATTCGGTTTTATATTTTATAAGTTATATATTGTTAAAATGTTTTGACAGACAGCTAGTCTTTTTAGTTTAGCTTTACGTTGTTTTAAATTAAAGAATTTTAATTATAATTATACTGGGTCCAGTTGTCTCAAATTAAGCTTCAGGTTCAGGTTGCTGGCATTTATTTATTGATCTTTAATAAATGATTCACGTTGGACATTTTTTTAGGAAAGCTAATATTTTAATTATAAATTATATTATGTCCTTAAATTAAAAAAAGATTATGATTTACTTCTTTAATTTAAATTCATTCACTGTATAAGAAATATAAATGATCCTGAGCATCCACTCACCCTTGAAGAATTGAATGTTGTGGCTGAAGATCTTATTGAGGTTAGCCTGTCCATTTATTATTTGTTTAATAAAAAATTTAGTATTAATCTCAACCTTTCAGGTCAATGACGAATCCAACATTGTTAATGTTTTCTATAAACCTACGATACCTCATTGCAGCATGGCAACACTCATAGGGCTCTGTATAAAAGTAAAGCTTATTAGATGTTTGCCTTCAAGATTTAAGGTAGTAATTTTTTGTTGCACGCTCTTCATTCTGTAAAATACAGTATTGTTTTCTAATAGATCTCTGTTGCCATAATGCCCAGTTTTCATGTTTCTGAAGCAGCTAGTAAGTATACACTTCTATTGGGTTGTAAATAACTTTTGATAAATTTCTTAATGAATTTATTTATATTTTGTGAATGTTAAAAAGTTAATAAACAGCTGGCGGACAAAGAAAGAATTGCTGCTGCTTTAGAAAATGTGAATCTTCTGAAAGTTGTCAATCAGTGTTTATCAATATAAAAAATATTATACAAATTATCGATCATCCCCTTTTTTTGCTGTTCAATTTGAAAAACTTTAAAATTGTATATTTTGATGTATAAAAAATGTACTCAATAATGTATTACGCTTGTCGAATTTTAATCTGTTTGTAAATGAATAAAAGCTCAAATATCAGTGTATATATATATATCATGAGTGATCCAAAATGCTGTTTAATTTCTGCCAGTGCTATATGAACATTTTAATATTGAGGCAAAAAAATCCATGGCGTGGTGACTACGATATTTTCTCATCTTTTATTTTCTGGCTCAGCCATCTGTTTGAATGAAATAAAAAATAACAAGGTTGCCAGCCATTCCTTTCTTGAATAAATCGAAACAAACTTCACTATTTTAATCGATCCAACCGTATGTTAAAACTAATAATGGAACTTGCTATTGCTTTGCCGTATCCTTTTTTTAAAAAATGACAGTTTCTAAGTAGTAAGCGTACTAAATGATTTAAAAGTTTTGCGACCGCAATAGAATGCGTTGATAAATCATCGATAATGGGTTAAAAAAACGTAGAAGGCCGCAAATTCTAGCTCCTGATAACAAACATAACCTATATATATATGAAAATAGGCACAATGTTAAAAATCTGACACGTCTGTTCATTTTGATAGTATATTATTATTTTGCTTAGTCTTTGGTAGTTTATTGTTGTTTTCTCTCATATATATTTTCTCTTTTGTTTGGATTGTCTTTATCGTTACCGCAGTGCACCCGTGGTCAAGTTTCACGTGTGTTGCTAATTTAATTTGCTTGTTCGCGATCGGATTTCACACAAAAAGTATTTAAATTTTTAGTTAGTATTTTTTGTTGATTTTTTTGTTTAACATTTTACAAAGATGGTTTTTCATTGATATAGTAAGTTTTTTATGGTATAGTAGCTTCAATCACTTCTTCACAAGGTTTCAAGAGTTAAAGATGAAGTATCTGTTTTCACTTTTAAATAATTAATAATGAATAAGTATAGCCTATGACGCATCAAAATCTAAATTATCAAAAATAATAACTTTTCAAAACATTCTAATTTAATAGTCATGAGTTTTAGAGGAAGAGGTTCAGGTAGAGGAGGGGGAGGCGGACGAGGAAATTTTGGAGGTGAACGTTTTTTTAACAGTCTTGTAAACAAAACATTTTAAATTTTGTTTATTTTCAATTTAATCTGACTCAGCTGTATAGGTATTGTAATAAAAAAATTATTACGAACTATTTGTACCAGGAAGGGGAAGAGGCAGAGGTGGCTACCAAGGAGGTTCTTATGATTCGGGTCCTCCAGAAAAAGTTATAGGTTTGATTCTTAACCTAATCATGGTTACTAATTCGTCTTTACACATTAGTAAATATTTTATAAAATTCTATTTTAAAAGAGATAGGCCACTTCACACATTCCTGTGCAGAAGATTTGGTATTAAAAGCCACACAGGAAAATGTACCATATTTTAATGCTCCTATTTATTTGGAGAATAAGCAACAAATAGGAAAAGTTGATGAAATATTTGGGCCAATCAAAGATTATGTTAGATGTTTAATTTTATTTTGTACCCATTTTTATGGAAATATAGTATAATTTTTTAAATCATTTATTTCAATACAGTATTTGTCTGTGAAGTTATCAGACAACATGAAGGCATCGTCTTTTACAAAAAACACAAAGGTATTCCTATTAACAATTATTCTTCATCTTAGGATTTGTTATTATTCAACATTGTTTTTTTTTAGCTTTTTATAGATCCAATGAAAATGCTACCCCTAGCAAGATTCCTTCCACGACCACCTGGTGAAAAAGGAGTTAAAAGTGCTGGGAGAGGCAGGGGTGGTGGTGGACCAAGAGGCGGTAATTTATTGTATATGCTTTTCACAATTTAACACTGATACTTTTAGCTGAAAATTATTCATTACTTGATTTTGGTTCAATGGGCTATGGTTTTTTTTTTTGATCAAGCAGTTTTGTTCTTATTTGCCTTATCATTTTTACTGTTTTTAGCCTTTGTTTACCCATTTGATTAATTATTTAATTTAGTTTTTTTTGGTATGCCTGTCTTTCTCATAAACTGCATTTTGTGCATCAAACTGATTCCAAGACATGATGATTCATATGCGATTGGTCATTTGAATTAGCTTTGCAGTCATTCACTTATAACCTTAACCTTGCATGTTATGAATCACTTTTTTAAAATCTTTGGGATTTTTTGTATTTTAACTGCTTAAATGTTAACACTTAATCTTGAAGTTTGTTAATATCACCTTATTATATCATGAATAGTTTTTTTTATAAAATAACTTCGAAGTGAGTAAACGTTTAAAAATGGGAATTAAAAATTATTTTACATGAAAAATTCATATTTTAAGTAAATTTTGTGTTCTAAATGATTGATTGTGTTATAATTTAATTATTTGTAAAAATGACGTTTTGCAGGTTTTCGAGGTGGTAGTGGGCGAGGCAATCGAGGATTTCGTGGTGGTGGCGGCGGCGGCGGTGGTAGTGGTGGTTATTCAAGAAGTGGCTCTAATAGAGGTGGAGGATTTAGAGGCAGAGGTTCACGAAATTAGATAAATTTTTAGTAAAACTTGTTTCTTATTTCTGTTGCAACATTCTTTGTATTTGTTTATATGACAATATATCCAATTACACTACAGTTTTTTTAATGTTAATGATTTCTGTTCGTAGTGGATGTTGGGTGTTACAAATGATTACTCTCTCAAAATAAATGGTGGTGTAGGAAAAATTGCTAGTAAAAAATTAATTTATCATTCTTTAAGCTATTTCTGTTGCTTTTAACATATGTATTCATGTTATGTATTTTAAATTATATATAAATATAATAAATATATTTATATTTATATATAATATATATATATAGAGAGAGAGAGAGATAAGGGTTGTACATCTGACAGTAGTCGGATTTGCAAGCATAAATTCAACTGGAGCTGAAGTTATATTTTATGCTGTAACTTGTGACTATGGCTTTATTAGCTTGCCTACGATAGTCTCTAACCTTGTTATATTACATACATTGTTATCAGTAACTTAGTAAATTAACATAATTTTATTATTACAATGCAAATTATTACCTCTAGTGATGTCTGTAAATGCTATCATACACAAAGACAAACACACGTGAAGCAAAAAACATATACGTATAAAAAGGATTTCATTGAAAATTTTTGCCCACTTGCAACGATATGGAATTGTTGTAAATCTTATTCATTGAGAACTAGTGACATAATTTGGCTGGCTAACAACGTTGTTTATGTCACTAATTCTCAATAAATACGATTCACAACAATTCCATATCGTTGGGTGTATTTTTAAAAAGTTTATTAATGCTAAGTGGGCAAAAATTTTCAATGAAATCTGCATAACTGAAAACCTCGTCCCAAAATGTATAAAAATGAATAAACGTGTGATTTGCATGCATGCACCACACCTGTTAGCATATTTTGAAAAGAATCTATTAATCACTCTTTTATCTGATAATTTAGAAGTATGATGTATGAAGTATGATTTAGAAGTATTAATCTGATAGTCAAATGTGTTCTGTGTTCTGTACACTTGTATGCATTCAAAACGTTGATCATATCTTTTATATGCTGATTAAGATATATGGCATGGACGATAAAGAAAATATAGATTGTCAGCATTTGAGATTAACTGCCACAGTTGTTGGAAACCAGTTGGTGACGGAGAGTAAGAAACGTTAGTATGCACGAAAACTAGCGCGTGATTGCAAGGCAAGTTTTTTTAGACATGTTTGCAGATTGTTTTATAATAGGTTAATTAAAATTAGTAATAACAAAAAACTGGAAGATTTGCCAAAAATGGATGAATGATGTGATGTTGCAGAATGCGTTGTGGTGGGAATGTTGAATTTAATGAAGCTTGCTAAAAGTAGAAGGTGATGTTGAAAATTGACTAAAAATAAGAAATGGAAACTCCATCGACATTAAAAAGAATTGAAAATCATTGATTGACTTTACAAGTGTCCGGCCGAATATTAATATTTTCTGCTCAAAATTATAAGAAGTGAGATAGCGAAATATCGTTATTGGAAAGGTTCAAACTCAATGATACCTGTTTTCAAAAGTAATTGGGTATGACACTTTATCTTATGTATGTTGTGTGTGTGTGTTATTTTAATAAAAATCTTCAAACGTTTTATTGCCAGTGATCGTCGCGAGTTAATAAGTTGAATATAATTACGCCTAGGCTTCCGGGTAAACATTTTTTATCTATTATTATTATTGTTATTATTTCAAGTAGCACAGGCCCCTCGCCAAACAAATACAGAAAAATCAAAAATATATGAAATTAGCAAAAACACCGTCCACCGTCAACAGAATTGAGCTGAATATAAACACGTGAACCTAAGAATGTACACGAAAACCAAACTGATGAGTAAATCGTTAAATGACAAACGAATCTAATTTTGATTCAAAAGCAAAATGGATTTAACTGTACAGGTAGACAGATCAAGTACAAATTATGAATTAGATGGCCAGTTGAATTTGAACTCCACGTAGCAACTATCGACTGCTGACTTGTAAACGCTCAAGAAGATGGCATTAGCAACGGCCTAAGGCAGTTTGTTCTATTCTTCCACCACTCTATACGAAAAAAATATACCGCAGTCTTTATGACTAGAACCTACAGTTAGCTTAAAGTTATGGCCCCTTGTACGAACATCGTGTGCAAATCATGGATATAAGTTTCCATCCAAAGGGTATAGGTTAAAGACGGTTTGTTGGAGCAAATTTTTATCAACTGACATTTATCTTTGTTTAATCTCAATTTCCAATTATTAGTTTTTTTTAGTCTATATTATTGCAGCTCTGACATATGCAGAACCACTTACATGTTACAGATATATTATCTAGATATTTTTTATTATGTTTTTCATATCTTTATCCATTAATTAAAAAAAAAATTTTAACAATTTATTTTTAGGTAATTTTCAAACTCTAATAAATATGATATAATATAATGACCAAATGACATTTAGGTCAAGTGCTTTATTTTGATTCCTAGTTATTCAATGCATTTAACCGTAAGATAACACTTCAATTGTCGGTTCTTCAAATAATGGCTAGTCCATTTCTATTTACGTTTAAGGTCCGTATTGTGTTTTTAATCAAATTTTGTGTATCTGTAAACGATTGTAAAAGATCGTAATTTAATTAATTAAGTTTAAAGTTTTACTGCATTTTTTTGCAATTTTTAGCATGTGTCTTTTGTGGAAAATTGTCAAGGTAAAAATTTTTCGTTGATTTTTTTTGTTTTAGTCTTCAGAAGTCAAATGAAATCCTTTGGTTCATCATTCATCATGGAATTGATAGATCATTTTCACTTCTTCATGTCTTCAGCTTCAGCTTGTACTTTCTAACTCTAACTTTTCTTTACTTACATAAATTCGTTAAATACTTTTTTTACCTTACCTTAATTAATTAAATCGCTGTTAGATGTTAATTCATAATTGTCATAGATAATGAATGGTTAAAAACTTAAAATTTAATAATTTTTAGTATTTAATAATAAAAATTGCCTTTATTTTGATTTTATTTAATTTAATAATTAATTATTAAGTTGAAAAGATTTTTAAGAAGATTCTTAACTTTAAAAAGTTTTTTTTTTATTTTATTTTATTTATTGGTATCATGGTGGATTGACGATGAGACAACAACTAATTACAATAGAGTTTTAAATTTAATAATAATAATAATAATAATGAAAAAGAGATTTAAACTAAAGTGACCCAACCCAAACTAGAAGTGGGCAAAATAGTATAGAATATTATTATTTATTGATCATTCCAATTTCTTTCAATTCCCATCTAAGATTCCCATTTTTAAAATTCCTTTCAGATTTATTTAATTTTGTTTCTGTATTAAATTTATCATGCTATGCAAAAAAATACTGACCATCACTGACCATTTTTGCTCTTATTCCTGTCTTCGTCTCATTCATAAAATATTATTTTTTAGGGTGTTGAAGTCAGGGTATTGTTGCACAACCTTAAAAATTATTTTTCCAAAACAACTTTTGAAAACAAAAGAAAAAATTGTAATAGTAAATTTTATAACTTTATGTAACTTTATAACTTAAATAAAAATAGTTATACTAAAATAATTGAATTTTTATTACAGAGTTTTTTGCATTAAGGCTAAGGATTTTCATCCATTATGATTTCTGTCATTTTGAACAACATTTCTGATATTGAAAATGGATATGTTATTCAAGTCCCATGTTCTAAAGATCAATCTACGAATCAATTTTTGGTGGAGGCAATTAAATGTCTTCAAAATGATTTAAATTACACTAAAAGTATAAGTTTGGAATTGGTGGAAATACTGTTTAGCGATGGACAACCTTGTAAAGAGAGATATATATGTGAAGATGAATATCCATATGTCATCAAGAAGCTGTGGCCACAACCAATTAATCAGCCTTCTTCTTACAAATATGAATTTGTTTTGAGACCTAAAACTCAAAACTATATTACTTACAACTCATTAAATACAAGAAAAAAGGACAAATATTTGACTGGTTTAATGACAACACGAAGAACACGTGACTATCAAGACCTATGCAATCTTCCAGAGTTAAATGAAATAACTTTACTGGACAATTTAAAACGACGATTTTTGATGAATAATATATACACCTTCATTGGGTCAATCCTGATATCCATAAATCCTTTCCATTACTTTCCAATTTATAATCCTAAAGATATTGAATTATATCAAAACAAGAAGTTGGCTGATCTTCCACCACACGTGTTTGCCATAGCAGATGCAGCATATTACAACATGATGACGACAAAAACTAATCAATGTATTGTAATTTCTGGGGAATCTGGTTCCGGAAAGACCGAGAACTCCAATTTTCTTCTTCACCATCTTTCAGCTTTGAGTCAAAGAAACTTTTATAGTAATGGAATAGAAAAAAATATTACTGGTGTTGGACCTGTTTTAGAGGTTTTTATTTAATTACCTTTTATTGTTTTTTTCTTATAAATGCTATTGTATCTTAATAGAATTGTGTTCTTTTACTTCATTTATTTTAAGGTTATTTCTATATATTATATTGCAATATATTAGTAACAATTTTTAAGTAACTGTGTGTCTATAGTTACGTCTATTTACTGATATTTGTTTTTTTTCTAGCTTGACTAGACATCAAGAAACAATGACCTAAATATTTTTATCTTTCATTCAGGCATTTGGAAATGCAAAAACTGTTCATAACAACAATTCAAGTCGATTTGGAAAGTTTGTTCAAGTGACATACAGGGAAGATGGAACTGTTTCTGGGTTTGTTCACTGTTTTTTGTATTTTTTAATGTTATTTTTTGGCTTATAAAGAGTCAAATTTTTTAGGCTATAATCTGAAAAATTTTTAAGTTATGTTAAATCTACAGTAAATTAATGTTAATGGAATTCCTGTTATTATAGAACATTTGTTTACAGAGCCACAGTGGAGAAATATCTTTTAGAAAAGTCAAGAATTGTATCCCAAGCCCCCAACGAAAGGTTTTTGTTTATAAAGTATTTTATTTTTTTGTTATTGGTAAGATACGAATGTAGCAAGTTCAACTCTTGTAACTCACATAATGGGTTTTAATTGGAAAATTGGGTTATTGAAAGTCCACAGCTCATGGTGTTACAGTAACAAAAGATCTATAAACTTTTTTTTCCAGAATTATCATGTATTCTAATTATTGCTGGCTTGTTCCTCCCGATTATAAAAAGACTTTACTTCATTTGCCTAACCTGAAAATTATTTTTATTTGAATCAGGTTTGCGCTGTAATTTATCTGTTCTGATTACAATTATTAATTATTATTTATGTAAAATAATCAATCAAAATTTAAAAAATTGGTCTACACATTTATAATTTTATTCTTGCAATAATAAAGGGACTTTTTTTTACAAGTGTTTTTATCAAATTTTTTTGGTTTCATTTTTATTGAAACAACCTAAAAATGTCAACACTCTTAATATCAATTTTAACATACTGAAAATAATTTGACTAAATTATAAAAAAATTTTCACTGTCTAAAATTTTTTTATCAAGTTATATATTGAGGCTACAAGATCAGATATAAATGTCAAGCATCATCCTCATAGTTTCTAATAAAATAGTTTGGAATTAATTTTGTTAACTATTAGAAATATACTAAAATGTATTAAATTACCTAAGGGATTGTAACAAATTGTACCTAATTTTAATTTATTTGTCAACTTCAAAAAAGATTTTAGTTGTTCCAAATTTTTAATAATTTTCATATAGAAATTGTTTCAAAAATTTTAATTTCAATTGTCTGAAAGCTTTCGAGTATTTGTGGAACTTTAACGACCCACGAATTTTATAAATTTATATCTCAAATAAAAAAACTGACAAAAGACTAATGCCTCAATGTCATCAGACCAAATTTATTATTTGACCAAATTATTATTTGCACATTCAAATACTCCCCAGAATGATTACCCTTGGCTATCGATGGATGCGGAGCACGAGATCAACGAGTTTGATCGTTTGAAGAATGCCATGACAGCTGTTGGATTCACTGCTGGCATACAACAGAGGTAGATCCTATATGTTTCTTTTTATTGTAGGCTTTCGATTGAAATATCATTCACTTCACATGCATGCAATCGTGACATTGGTCAATTCTGAAAGTTTCTTGTAATTATTAATTTAGTTTGCTGTATTATATCTCCTAATCACATTATTTTTTTCTATTTTCAACATGTCAACCAATCTTTCATTTATACATTTTATTCATTTTCCTATTAGTTTAAAAGTTAAAAAATTGATGTAGGTTGTTCACAGTACTGTCTGCTATTTTAAACATTGGCAACATTGAGTTTAAAAAGGTAAGAAAGTTTATGTATTGTTTTGCTGTATTGTTTTGTTGCAATTGCAAATATCTTGCAAATGAGTTTTTCATTTTAATGGATTTCTCAACCTGTATAAAACCTCTTCTTTTATTATACTTTATAACTCCACAATTATTTTTCTGAATGATATAATCAACTTTGATAATTTGTTTTTTGAAAGTTCTTCAGCTTTTTAGATACTTGCATTTTAGCTTAGTAAATTGATTATGAACTTTGCTCTACAGCTTTAGCTTTGTTAATTGTGTTTAAAAAGATAAAAAGAATTAATTTTGTTAGCTGCTCAGTGCAAGTCCTACACTCCGTTTTGTTGTCGGCTGTGATGTTAATTGTTTTGTGTAAGCAATAATTTTGTTTTGCTCAAGCATTCATTTTTTTAATTGTTTTTCGGCGTTGTTAACTGTTCTGCAGCAGATAGAGGCAGGCCGTCATGATGAAAGTACTTCAATCTCCAACATGAAGCAGCTTCAAATTGTGTCAAATCTCTTAAAAGTATATAAATTTTTTTTACTTTCGTAGTCATTATTATTTAATTTTTTGGATGTTGTCCTGATTGGCATAACCTTGAGAGTGGAATATATTTGTTATCGTACTTATGATCGCAGGTGACAGAGAAATCTTTGTTAGAAGCTCTTACAAAGAGAAGAACAATGGCTGGAGGAGAAACAGTTGTCATGGCAAACAAGATTGATGAGGTATTTTGTTTTTTTTTAAATTTCCAGTCAGCGCATTGATAGTTCGTACACTTTTTCCAACTGTAGATTCTGCCTTGAATTTGACACTTAACGCCGTATACTGTATTTTGTTAGCAGGTTTTTCGGAGACTAAGCATCTTATTGGGTCTTTATGTAATACCTACACATATATGCAAGACTGTTGAATCTTTCTTCACCTAATTCTTCTTCATTATTCTATATTGCAAATACAAAAACCCAAGAAATGAAGAAACTACTAACAGCTCAGACAGACAGATCCACAGTGCTTTGTTTTTTTTCTCGTTGAATATTTCATTCATTCTCGCAGCTTTAATAGAACCAAACAAAGTCCAGTTCGAGCAATGGACTTTAGTAGAATAATTATCATTTAGATGTTCATCATTTGAATCCATCATGTTTCCATCCACGTTGTTAATACCGTTATTGTTATTGATAATTATTATTTTATTATCATTATTTGTATTATGATGATTATATTGTTATTATTGCCAATTCTATAACTACCGTTGCCATCACTTCTGTCATTATTAGTCATTATGGTTAGCACAAACCTTCACATTTTTACTGCAAGAGTTTAGGATTTAAGTTTCAAGATTTGCATTTGGTTGTTGTTTTTTCACTGGAACATTCAGCTTGTGATGATATTTATAAAGTTGAACTATTTCACAAATTGAGCCGCACACACACCACAGGCTGTGTCAACTCGAAATGCAACGGCGAAATGTTTGTACAATGCTCTCTTTGACTGGATTGTCTATCAAATTAATGCTGTTCTCCTCGCTAAACATGATCTTTCCAAACTCATGGTTAAAGAATTAGTTTCAATTTTCGAATATTTATTATAATGCAATAATTGAAAATTAATGAATTTTCTTGGTTTTTTAATGTTATTCTTTTCACCACGCACAGCGTAAATACATCGGAGTCCTTGATATTTTTGGATTTGAAGATTTCCAATTCAACAGTTTCGAACAATTCTGCATAAATTATGCCAATGAGAATTTGCATTTTTATTTTAACCAGCATATATTCAAGTTGGAACAAGAGGAGTATATAAAGGAAGGTTAGCATAGCACTAATAAAGAACTTGAAGTTGAATATTGTTCTATAGTTTTTATATTTGTTGACATTTAAAATTTTCATTTCATTCAATGGTTGAATGTGATTCATGTTTGTGATGAAATGTTTTGTTCTTATTTCGAAGCACTTTTTACGATTCTTCAATTAATTTTCTCTATTATTCTCTCATTGTATTAAAAAACTTTCCTCAATGGTTATTTTGTGATAATATTTGATTCAAACGGTTTTCACATTATTTTTGCTTCTCTATAATTTTTGGACAAAGATAAAAAGTTTTTAAAATATATTTAATCCGGTTATTTGCTGTTCATTTTAAATGTTACCTCTTCGATACTGACAATATGTTTTGTTTTTAATTGAACTTAGTAGCTGTAATGACACATGTATTTGTTGGTTGAGAGTTGGCTGATTGTTGGTAGATTGCATGGTTGCTTGAGGCTGTTGTAATTTTTTATTGTGGAAAAGAAGATATCAAGTTTTAACTTTGCTGTTTTGTGTTTAATTTACTTACCAGGCATATATTGGGAGAACATAGAGTTCATTGATAACACTGGTTGTTTGGATCTCTTCAATAAGAAACCTTCTGGTCTGTTACATCTCCTCGATGAAGAATCCAAGTATGTGTGCCTCTGTGTGTTTAATAATCACAAGTTATTAATGCATTTATTTCTTTTATATAATTTAGAATAAAATTAGCTTAAGATTAAAATTCTAGCAAACATTAATTCATTTATTATTTTAACATGCATTATTTTAAAGATTTTTTTTTCACTGATTTGCAGTCGTTTGATTGTTATTTACTAATTAATGTGAACAGCTTGCCGTGCGGGTCGAATGAAATTTTGCTGGGCAAGTTCCACGCAGCCCACCAAAGCAATGCATATTATGACGTTCCACACAGGAAGCAGAACGCCTTCATTATATTACATTATGCCGGCAAAGTCAAGTATTACATACAGGTTGGTTTTGCATTTCCAATTATTTCATCCAACTTTCGAATAAAATTGATTGTTAATAACTTGCTGTTCAATTTTCATTATAAAATTTTTAAAATGCGCTGAAATATTTGATGGAAAGTAAACAAATTTAAATTTTATTCAGAGCCGTTTTTTTATGATTTTTGTTCAAATTTAAAAATAAAAGTTATAAATAAAGTATGGAGAAATTTTAATAAATGATGAAAATATTGTTGAAAATGAGTATAGTTAATATTAAAATTATTTTTTTAAATAATTCAACAGCTTTTCATAATATAATTGAGTGAGATACAGTTTATTTTGTTCTAAAATCCGATATTGAATCCATTACATTGTTCAGCTTTATTCTGGAATAATTAAATTAACTATAAACAGACAATTAAGCAAATATTTTCTATCGCCTTAAAAGCTTCAACAGTGAATCAAATGGGTTCGACCATATTTGAAATTTTACAGGAATTTCGTGAGAAAAACACAGATCTTATGCGGAATGATGTCGTGATGCTGTTGAAGAGCAGTAAAATGGAATTCATTAGAGAGCTCGTCGGTTCGTTTTTTTTATAATGTAAAATTTACATGTGTTATTGTTACTCGTGTTATTGGTACTTGTATTATTGTTACTTGTATTGCGTGCTATTGTTACTTGTGTTTTTGTCGCTTAGACATTATTTTTCTTTTTGCAATACTGTTTGTATTTTGTTTTGTATGTTTTAATTTGTGCTTCTTGTTATTTACGTTTTGCATGATAGTTATAATAATCTTAATAATGTTTATTCATTTAATGAAAAAACGACTTGGGCATGTCCCTGACCAACAATTTAAAATAAATGAACAGTCTTGACGAAAATTTAAGGAAATAAAATAGTTACTTATTTAACAATCAAGAAGATGAAAGTTGACGGATCATTTCTAAAACTAAGAAGTGAAACTTAAACAAACTCGTCAGGTCAGAACGTCGTGGCGATAATGCGGTGGGCCATGTTGAGAATCTTCTTCAAGGCCTTCTTTGCTTTCATGGGCATCGCCAGCAAATGCATATCTGAAAGAGACAGCAGAGGTACGTGATACTTCGCTTTGATGCTTCTAACTTCTGCTGGGCCAATTTCTTAAAACTTAAACTTTCAACTGAAATCTAACTTATTCATTAACACTAACAAGTCTCCGGATCCAACTAAATTAAAATAGCCGCTAATTTGGGTTCAGTACATTGCATTGCATGATCAGTTTAGAACCGCATGTATTTGTAAACTGTTTTAAAATGTTCGATTTAATGTGATGACGACTACATGAACTGAGTTCATAAATAATTATGTTACCAATGTAATGTTTTTTAAATGTTTGATAGTGCTTGTTATGATGAAATTTATTGTGAACAGTTGCTACAGGTTTTCCTGCAAATTCAAAATCCTGCCTCATGAAGAATAGGAAGAATGAAAGATTAGAAAAAGCCGACAGTTTTTGCAGGTCTCGTATTTATATTGTTAATTTTTTTTGATTAACTGTCATTCTTGATGTAATATTTTTTTGAATTTTATAAAATTGATTGTTGTCATATTTGTACGCATTGTGTTATGTCGTTATGAAGTCTTGTATTTTGTTATGTTACGTTTTGTTATGCTGCTTCGTTGCATTGTTACGTTGTGTTATATTGACTGACTAGATCCTTTCTGCTGCGTCATCATCCTTCAAATCATTTCTCCGTATTAAATTGCAGTTTATGCATGCATTATCATTTTTAGGCATGAGGGAGAATTTTTTCAACGATCATTATACAATTATACATCATTCGTACACACATATTTACAATGTTATTATTATTATTATTTATTATTATTATATATAGAATATTTTATTTTTTTTAGTTGCAAGTTCACACATTGGAATGTTTTTTCTACTGTTTTTTTAGCAAATGCATGATAATGCTTCTGTCTTGCTAATTTAGTTTGCTATTGAATTGAGTTTAGACTCAAATATAAATATAAGTAAGCGTGAAAGTATTTCTAATTTAAATTAATTTGAAACACAGAGATTTTAAAATGTGTGATAAATGCAAAAGTTAACCTTTTTTTCGACAGAACCACATTTGATGTACTTTCTATGTGCCTTCATGAGTTTCACCTGGTCTATTTTTTCTTTATGCTAATAGAAAAGTTTGGTCATGACATGTGTGACATTCCAACTCGTAACGAAGTTTATAAACCACGCTAAATAGTGGAAAGCCTAAATTCGGCATAAATAGCAAGACCCTCAGATTTTACACGTAACTGCTCTGTTTAATATTACTGTTTCCAGTATTCTTTAAAGATAGCCTCCAATATACTCTAACCAGTGGGCTTTATTGTTGGCGTATTCCAAATTACAATTATCTTCACACTTTATATTTTGTATGAAACATTTTTTGGATATGTTTAAATGGAAAGTATAATGTACATATGTTTTATAGCTTTAATACATTTTTAATGCAGTTTTATTCTTTTACGCGTTCATTGCATTATTCCTGTTGTTTTTGGCCAAGAAAATACGATGAAAACACACAAAAGATTTTACTGTAACATGTCAACATGTTGATTTTGTAAGATGTTGATTTACACTTTCAGTGATGCCGTAAGAGGAAGTTTCAGCTGTTTATCACAATGCAAATCATTACGGTCTGACAGAAAGAGACTAATGCACGCTCATTCACTAAATGACGAAATAATGATTGCTGATAAATGTCCAGCACTTGATTTTAATTTTCCTCGTCCAATCACTCCTCCTTATCTTCGTGGTCATCATCTCGCGGTGATGGTGAACAGAGAACCGGTGCAACAACAACATGGTCAGCGAGATCGTCATTCAATGAGTTCTGCTGACCCATCAGTTATGTATGTTGATGTTGCTAGCTGCTTCTATTTTCTATTGCTTGTTTTCCAACGCTTTAACCTATTTTAACATTTCATTATACAAATTAGTTCGGAATGTGATTTCCAACCTGCTTCTGCATGTTTTTCATAATCTCCTTTATCCTAAAATTAATTTTAAATCTCGTAAATTTTTCTTTCAAGAAAAATCAAAACGTACAAGCCGAGGATAAAGTTAGCAAAAGTTCGTAAGTTTTGTTTTATTTTAACAGTTTCCTATTTTGATGTTATTTGCTTGTGATAGTGCTTTTGAAATGAAGTTTGTTTTGTTACGCCTTGAAACATCATACAAAGTGTTTACATTTTTATTTGAATGATGTGAGTTTTTATGATGATGGCTTTGATAAGAATTGTTGTTATTCAGCACATGCAGGAAGTGAAAGCGTTCCAACACTCTAAATTACCTCTATCTAGTCGAAGCAGCAAATCGAAAAACAAGCCTCCAAGCATCAGTGCCCAGTTCCATGTTGGTCCTTCGTCTCTTCTTTTTGGAACATATTTCTATAAATCTGGGATATCATTGTTTATATTGCATTGAATTGATTTACATCATGGAGATGATATAATTTTGTTTGCGTTTTCTAAATTATTACTTCAATATTAAAAATGTTGGTTGTCAAGTAACGGAGCCATGTTTATTTTAAATGAAGAAACGATATTGGTTATATGAATGCAGAACTCGTTGATGCTGTTGACGGACACGTTGAACCAAGCCACCCCATTCTTCATCAGGTGCATCAAATCCAACCAAGACAAGGTTTTCAACTCTTTTTCCTGAATAATTTTATGGTTAACGGAGTAGTTGACGTTATATTTGATGTTGAATCTGATTTTTTTTATAAATAAACAATAAATAATGACAGGCTGCAAAAGTGTTTGATGACGAGTTGGTGGAACGACAGCTGAGGTACACAGGCATGTTGGCCACAGTCAAAATCAGGCAGTCTGGATACAACTACAGATTATCCATCGAAGTCATCTTCTTTTCATTAACATTTTCAATTTTTATTGCGATTGTATTAAATTTAATAAAAAACGTCTTTGATAACGTGACATTTCAGAGTATGTTTGTCGTAATTATATATATTTTCATACATACAGACTAAAAATGTGTTATTGTAGTTGAAAAAGATAATTCCTTGTTTATAATTTTCTAATAACTTTCATCTATGAATTAATTTACTGCAATCAATAAGCATCTTTTCAATTCGGTCTTTATGGTTTCACTCACTGTGACATAGGTAGGGCCGTTCAGTTTTCTCACATTTCATTTACTTCACGTTCATCATTTTTTGCAACTAAGCCCGTGTTAATCTTTTGACCGTTCAATGTATGCTTCCATTATGTGTTATGAATTTTCATCTTTTATTTAATTTTCACCTGTTTCAGTTATTTTCGCAGAGTCAGCTATGTGATTTTGCTATGTATCATTTATTTATGTATTGTACAGCGGTTAATATATTACTTACATAAAGGACTTTGTCTACTCATTCCATGTATTGCTGCCTAATGGCAAACGGAGTACTAAAGAAGATATCAACAAATATCTTAATCAGCTCAGCATTAATAAGAAGAACTTTCAAATTGGTCACACAAAGGTTCATTTTGTCATGCTTTAATATATGTATATTTTCGCTTCTGAAGTCAACTCGTGAGAAGTTCTGTACAAATATGCGTTTTTTTGTTTGGTTTTGTGTGTGTGTGTATGTTTGTTTGTTTGCGTGCATGTGTAGCGATGTACGTGCATGTGTATATCTATGTGGTTGATTTTCATCAGGTGTTTCTCCGTGAAGCAGAAAAAATTTACTTAGAAGAGTTGCTACATGAAGCCTTGCTAAAGAAGATTGTAATAATCCAACGATGGTTTAAAATGCTTTGGAGTAGGAAAGTTTTTCAAAAAGTCAACCTGTCAATTATTCTCACACAGGTGTGTAATAGCAAAACAACTTCCAAATTTTCAATTTGAATTTTAACGATTAATTGATTTACATTGACGGTTTGCGTCTAGTACATTGGTTATGTGGTCTGATTGACTTTTTATACTTTTTCTCTTCTCTTTCTCCCTTCCCTATTTTCAAAGTTTCTCAATTTAAAGCAAACCATCAAACTGTCAGTAATTTTCTGCATTGTGCACCACATTTACGCGTCTATGTTGCAGATCATTTTATCACAGTATTTTTGTTGCTATAATGGAATAATATAATGGAAAATATGTAAAATGCTTATAGTTGTTTTTTTAAAATAAACTAAAAATTTAATTGTTTTCATGTAAAGTGGTAAACTATACCAAATTGTTTATGTATTGTAGTAAAATTTTGAGGCCTAACATTATTTCAAGTTGCCTAAACGATAAGTCTTTTTTGAAGTGATTAAAATATTTTGTTTTTAAAAATAATGGACTTGTTAATTTATATTTAAAATAAACATTTAAATAATTCTTTTAAAAGTAATTGTGTACTCTATTTTCAACATTTTGACTGTTTTCTAATATTCGTTGCACTTCATTCAAATGCGTGCATGTGCGTGTGCATGAGAAGATATGCTTTTGTTTTCCATTACGTGAGAATTTTGATATATCATTCAGCCATAGAAATAAAATTAACTTTGTTCGTAAATATTATTATAACTTTTTGTATATTTTTCAATATATTACCGTGAATCTGTTTTATTGTAGTTTTTTCTGCCGAAACTAATCTTACTTAATATTGACCTGCAGAGCTACATGAGAGGTCATCTGGCGAGAATCAGGTTTTCTCAATTAAGACTTCAGTGGTCTGCCAGTGTCCTCATCCAGTCGTTTTTCAAGATGCACTTTGCAAAGAAGAAATATCTACGAGCAATTAAGATGCATGAATGTTTATTGAGAACGTGTAAAATGTACCTGGCTCAACAAAATCTTAAAAAGCATAGTGCTCTTCATTTTCAATTTCTGCAACAAAACACCACTGCCAGTGACAATAGAACAGAGACTGATTGTTCAGACAGGAGCGGTAAAGATCATCTGTTGATAGCTGCAAATGAGGGCGAAGGAGATAGTTGCAACGTACTGCACCCCGCTGGGCCATCATATTCAAAGGACGACTTCCTTGATATTATCCGAAGTTCTGATCCTAGCATAAAATCAAATGACAACGTCGACGATCAGAGAGAAGGCTTAAGTCGCATTTTATTTGTGAACTCAAAGAATCCAAGCAGGGAATCATACGATATTGCATACAACACTGGTAGATTTGCAAATGAAGCAAGGAGGAAGAAAAAGAAGAATCATTTCATTGAGGATCACGATGCAGTTGATGCAGTTGCGAGTGAGAATGAAACAACGATCATGTATGTTTTTGTTTCTTATATATGTTCTATGATGAAGTTATCATTTCGCTGATGTTTTCTCGTAAAATAATTGACAGAGAGGACATTTATGAGAACGAAGTGGACTGCAGATTGTCGTCCTTGAACGACTTGCACTCCTACGATCCCCATGCATCCTTCACCAGCCAGCACGAACGCCAGAGGTCCGTCCGTCTTTCTTTCTTAACTTCATTATTTTAAGCATTCTTTAAACATTTCATACTGAATTTTTTTGTTTATTGTTCATTTATTAGGAGACGTTTATTTATTTTTTCTTGCCACCGTTAAAGGAAACAAGACTGCCTTCCTTTACTGCGATCTTATATTTTCTTGATTTTCAAAACAGCTTGCAGATATTTTTATAAGGCTTGAATCCAGTGTGATGTAGAAAAAGATATACGGTCGTGGATGGCAGTTTTTTATATAAGGAAGATAATAGCGAGCAATAATAATAAGGAATGTAAATACGCGAGATGGTCTGGGAGGGCATTGGAAATAGCGCATTTTGTTGTTTCTCTGTTGAGTAATTGAATCGCATGTTATTTGACGTTTAAATGACACTCAATCCGTTTTGATGTGTAACATTTCAAATATTTACGGAGGTGTAGTTAATAGACTAAGATAACTGCAGTAATTTGTTGGCTTATTGAATGTAATTTGTTGATCAGTTGAATACTTCAGCATTCATGTTCATATTCAGAAATGACATGCACGATGTAGCAATGGAGGGTGACAAAATTAGCGCTTCTGTGAAGATGCAACACGGTCTTTCACATTTAACTCGGCATTCAATAAATGACCCTTCTGAAAATGAAACAAATAAGTTAGTTTTTAATATTCCAAAATTGTAATAATCTTATACGCTTTAAATAAAAATGCACAGGTAATAATTTAAATTGAAGTTTGGTCTCAGTTTTCTCCCTTTTCATCCACTCCCTGTAACATTAATAAGCGTTACAAAATTTTATTTTAAACAAATACAAATTAAAAAAAGGCTTACAAATGGTCAACTTTCCTTATTTAATTGGAAAAAGTCTAATATCAGGACTCATATTTGCGTGATGGAGTTTTATTTGATCAGAGGTGATGGATGCTAAATATCTCCTAAACGCCAGTTATATCAAAACAGTTATTTGTTTATATTTGAGGCCAATAAATTTTTTTTTAATAAAATTCGACAACTACCTAGCGTCGTAAGCCAATTTGTAAATGAAAAACTGAAAATTTTTGATAAAAATCGTCATTTTTTTCAATTTAACCTGAAATAAGATACAGGTAAATGTTATAACATTGAGCTATAACTTTTCTTTTTGAACATTATAGTAAAATTACTTAATTAAACTCCTTTGCATATTAAATACATATGACAACATACTAGAAAGTTATATAAAAGTTTCAGCTAGTAAAATGTCTACATGTCGTTTGTTTATTTACAAAAGTCTGATTTGGATTTTGCTCTGCGTTATCACGTGCATCATCATCACCAGCAGCAAAATTTTCAAAAATTAAAATGTTAAGGTCAGCAATTTATAATGAAAAATTATCGATGAACTTGAAGACTTAGTTGTCAACACTTTGAAATGATACTTGATACGCTTTTTTATTTTTTGCAAAAAATGATAATAATGCACTTTATTGTTGAACCTGACAGGACCTCTTCTCAGGCCGGTCCTGCAGATGTGGAAGTGAGTTTCTTATTGACACTAATGCTTGGTTTCAGTGATGAATGTTCCTTTTTTATTGTTTGTTGTCAGTAGCGAACGTCGGAGCTTAATATGACGCACATCTCCACTTTATAATTCAGTGTTTTTCAATGTTGTAGGTCTTAGTTGTGCCAGCTATAGAACATGTGAACAATTACGATGGCAACGACTCACAAGATGTCTTCGTTATCAGCAGTGCGTTCCAAGAAAAGCATGTGAAAGCTCCTCTGGCTGATGAAGAAAACTTCAATGATGATGATCTGGTTGCTTTAACGGGCGATGTTAGTCCATGTCCATGTTATTATTAGCAATTCTAGTTGTTTATCGATGTATCGTAGATAAACGTAATAGGTAGATGGCTGGTTTTTCATTAATAGTTCTTCGTTTTTATCTTATCATGAAGAACGATTTGGACTGTGAGGTTAAAATAGTGTCGATTGATGATGATGACGAAGACGGCGAAGTAACTGAAAGCGTTAATGTCAGCACACATCCCAGTGAAAACTTACCTCAACACAATCTTTTTTCAGGTTTACTTTTCATTTTATTCTGTCCATTTTAATTTTATTTCTTCTTCATGTTTCAGGTATGTTTATGTTTATGCTTCATGTTTATTTTCATATGATCTTTTAAATATAAACTTTTAGGCAAATTTAAATAAATAAATATATTATTAAAATTTGCAACCACCTGATAGAAATCAGCAGCGGTTAAGCATCAGAATGAAGTTATTCATTGGAGTAAGGGGTAGAAAAACTAGGTTACTTGCTTCACATAGCAAGTTACTGAAGAGAGAAATTGATCGGTTGTGCTAAGGAAATCTTGTCCTGTAGGGAGAATGCAGAAAAAGTGCCTTAAAAATTTCTGTGCTAAAATAAAATTGAAATAAAGGGGCAGGTAAGTGAAATGTAAGTCGAAGGAGGAAGGAAGTGCGTGAACGATTGAAGAAGTTTTGCGAAGTGCTACAATCTTTTCCTTCAGCCTGATATATACGCTATACAGTCATGTTGATTATGGTTTATCTTTTGTGAAAAAAATAATTCAGTTGGTTTTATCGAAAATCAATGTTAAAAACATGTTAGACGAATTGATTTTTAATCTGACAGATCCTATCGGAAGTTTGAATGAAAAGTTATCAGTCGCCTTCATGAAAAATGAAAAGTCAAAAGTGAAGCCTTCCAGAAGTAGGAAGTTGTCGGTCGTGAAGCAGAGGCAGGAACAAAAGATGAGTTGGAATGTTGCAGGCACCATGCAGTGGAAGTATCCACTTGATCTTGTCATTGAAAATCTCAAAGAACTCAGACAATTCGAACATCATCTTTCTATCAAGGTTTGTATTCTTTCAATATGCCGTCAATTTGGTCAATTTTTAATTATCGTTAATTTTTTTAAAGTCATTTCTATGTTTTGTTTCGGCGTGTTTTTACAAGAGTACAAAATTGTTCATATTCTTATTAGTTTGAAAAGGACGTAGCGGATTTGGAAATTATATTATAGGCCCACGCAATTTCTAAAACCTGAAAAATAACTGTTAATTTATAATTCAGAAATTGAACACGTACAAGTTAAACAGAGAGAGAGGAGGCAAGAAAGAAAACATCATAGATGAAATATTCAAATCAACTCTTAACGAATTCCATAATAATCTACTTACTCAAATATCTACTGCCAAAGAGGTATGCTATGCTATTCATGCAATCATTGATTTGTTTCACTTTAGTTTTTGATGCATGTCTGGCTATTATTATCATTGAGTGTTGACGACGAAGGATTTCACAAAAAGGCACAACGCATTTGTTATTTTTTTTCTTCTATATGTTTTTTTGGTTAACTGTTAGGTACAGAATTCAAAATTTTGAAACATAGCATGAGCAAATTTAAGTTATTTGATTCTTGAGATGAGATCAGAGAAGAGAGCTTTCAATCGTAAAATAATTTGACTGTGAACAAACAGATCAGTTATATTTCCGATGCTTTATTTTCTTCATTCTTTAAGTTTGGAAATTTAATTATTAAATTTGTAGAATTTTCTTCCAAATTTTGTAAATTAATTTAAAATTGAAATAGAGTATCTCCAGCAAGTTTTAAGTTCCATAAACTTATCATGATTTGTTAATTATTATTTCGTCGACAGTCGTCCGCCTCTGAGTACGTGGTGTTCAGTTACGAAAGGTTGATGAAGCTGGTTGAAGAGATATTGCGAGTGAAGAGTAGAAACAAATTTGAAGACGATAACGACTTCCCTCACACCTTTTTCATTAATGCATTCAGAGGATTCTTGGATGAGTTTATCAAAAAGAAGGAAAATAAGGAACTGCCTGACATCAAATTCAAAAACGTTTTTAAAAAGTCCAAAAAGGAATCTATATTTGTTAGTAGTAAATAATTTTGGAAACTAGATTTTTATTGTGCCTGTTGTTAGATCTTGGATATGTTGTCATTTTTAGAGATGTGATTTGTTTATTTTTCTTTATCAGTTAAATATTTAAATGTTAAAAATTATGATTTAGGATGTTTAATTAGCATAAATTATTCAGAACGTGAGAATATTGTTTACAAACTGATGGATTTTAAAAATTTGCATATTATAATTATATTGAATATAGAAACTGGCTTTTTACAGGAACACATGGAACACAAGTTTCTTCTGATTCAGTTCGGTATTGCCACATTCTGTGAATGTTGTCAAGGCAAACTGTGGGTCCTTGAGAAGGGTTACACGTGCAAAGGTTGTGCTTGCTGGAAATATGATGTTCTATCTGTTCATTTAATATGATATTCATTAAATGTGATCTCATTTCTATTCGTTCTGTTAGAATATTTTATTAAATAGATATTATTTCATTCACACATTTACTACAACTTCTATTCAGTTGTATTCATTTCATGCATCGCTTCGTCAACCTCACTAACTTTTAATGACGTCATTCAAATTTTTGATCTTCCTCTTAAAAACACTAACGTTAAAAAAGTTGAGCACGTTTATAATATTAATATGTGTATTTGGCAACCAATAATCAACCAGTTTGCATGTTGACGATACATAGAAAGTGTTACTCGAAGTTGAACAGCAAGTGCAGCAAAAGCTCTGACGCTGCTTCTTTAGTTGCCAGGGTTTGACGTTTTTTTCCATTTCAAAGTGATTTGTTAGCACAATATGCATTAATTGGGTCTTAATTCACATCAATCAAAACTGTTGTGTCATTATCAAATTCAACTGAACTTTTACAGAAAGGTCATAAGATCATAGGTTCTCCTTTGAGCCTGTTGATGCAATCACTAGTCGACATTCACAAGGTTCATCCACTGATAGACAGGTTGATATCTACCATTGAGATGGACGGCTTGTATACGGAAGGTCTTTACAGGAAAGTCGGACTGGAGTCTGCTACAAAAAAACTCATTGCTGACATCAATTCAAGTAATAAATTTTTCATTGCCCATTTTTCGCGTTAGTCACAGTTTTGAACGTTTGAACAGATGCAGCAGAGCAAGTTGACTTCTCAAATCAGTCCATTCATGTGCTGACTTCTGTTTTGAAAACTTTCTTCAGAGAGATGCCTGAACCTCTTCTCACGTTTGAATTCTATAAAGATTTCATCAGATTTGCTGGTTAATATTTTTTTAGGAAGTGTTTCTTTTGCAAGTTAATTAGGGAAATTTTTTTCATATTTTTAATAATAGGGTATGTGTTGTTCTTACGCCTATGACTAAGCCACATACTCATATTATGAGTTTTAACTTCTTGCCATTAAGCCAGCCCAAGTAAGTGACAGTGTATTTCACTCAAATTTTCTGTTCTCAGATATTGAAGATGAAAACGATAGGACGGTAGCTTTATATTCACTGGTTGATAAATTGCCACCAATCAATCATGCCTTCCTAGAAAGACTCATTTTTCATCTGGCCAAGTTATTTTTTTTATGTTTTATTTTATTTACTTGATCAGTTTATTTTTGTGGGGAAATATGTTTCAAAAAAACTTTTAAATTGTTTTATTCACTGTGCATGTGCACTAAAGTTTTGAAGAATTCCATTATTGCTGCTAATTATGGTTGAAATGATGCAAACAGGGTAGCGTTGCAGCAGGAGTACAATCGCATGTCTGCCGAGGGCCTTGCCATCATATTCGCCCCGAGCATCTTACGAACCTCCCAGCAGCTTCCCATGCAAGAAAGTTTGCTCCATGTTCCTCGTCAGAGCTTGTTAGTTTTTTTCTACCGCGTTAACCTTCGTATCAGTGATGTTGCATGGTGAGTGATAATGGTGAGTGGGGAAGGTGGGGAGCGAGTGATAAGTAAAATAGACCCCTGTGGGGTATGTGACAGGAGAGTGAAGGCTAACTCGGTATTGTGTAAAGGATGTCAGAAATGGGTGCATAAGAGATGTAGTGGTGTGAGGGGGGCACTGAAAAAGGTGGAAGGCACGTTCAAATGTAAGAAATGTGTTCATGGTGTGATTAATAGGACGGACGCAAGGACGGGGTTGAGTGGTGGTATTAAAAGAGTGGAAAGCTTTGTTTACTTAGGGGATAAGCTGAATGCGGATGGAGGATGTTTGAGCGCAGTTACGACTAGAGTTCGTGTGGGATGGATGAAATTTAGGGAACTGGGTGGGGTATTGTGTGGAAAGAAATGGTCAGTGAAGATGAAAGGGAGGGTATATAAAGCATGTGTGAGAGCAGCGATGGTATATGGTGGTGAAACTTGGGTGTTGAGGAGCGAGGAGGAAAGTGTACTGCAGAGGGCTGAAAGAGCTATGGTGAGGATGATGTGTGGGGTTAAAGTGAAGGATAGGAGGAGTAGTACAGAGCTGATGTCAATGATGGGACTGAATGAGGACATTGTGACATTGATAAGGAGATCGAGATTGCGGTGGTATGGACATGTGTTGAGAAGGGATGAAAGGGTCGGGATTAGGCGAGCGTTGGAGTTCGAGGTTGAAGGAGTGGTAGGAAGGGGTCGTCCGCGATTGGGATGGAGAGAGCAGGTGGAGAAGGACAGGGTGAAAGCGGGGTTGCGTGATACTGAGGCGAGTGACAGATTCGGATGGCGTCGAGGGGTATTTCGGTTTCATCATAGGTAGCCAAACGGCAACCCCCGATCTCGGGGAAAATGCCGTCTAAACGTGTGTAGTTATTGTTGTATCAGTGATGTTGCATGCACCTTATATTTATTGGGACAGTTAATATTAGGAAGAAAGATTAATCATGAAAATTTCATGTTTGATGATTAAAGAATTGTCGCCTATACAGTTTAATTACTTTTTAATATTATGAGTATGTTGAAAATAATAGAATAATGCTATGTTTGATAATCATTTGGCAGATGTGTGGAGTGCCTGATAACATCTCAAATGCGAAAGACCCAGTCAACGTTGAGATACATCGAGGACATCAACAAAGACACCATCGATGTCAACAATAAGATCGCCACTCTCAAAGCCAACGGGAAGAGGGTCTCAACTGAAGTATGCAAATATTTGTTTAACGTTTTTCAACTATTTTTGCATAATAATTATTGCTGTAATAAGAAATAATAAAACCGTTATTTATTTGTAAACGTCGAAATCGTTGTAAACATAGGATTTGAAAGTGGAAGATGATTTGAACTCGTCCATCTCATCCGACGAGCTGACCACACTGACTCACAAGATGAAGACGCTACAAAGAAAAAAGTTAGAATATTATAACAATTTTTTTGTATTTGAACATTTGCTTCTAGCACAAGATCAATACAGGATAAAGATCAAGATCAAGTGCAATACAGGCCCAGAAAATTAATTATTTATTTGTTATTTATTTTATTATTCATTAATTTGTTTATTTGTTTGTTCATTCATTCATTCATTTGTTTACTTGTTTCTTACATTATTCCAAACAGCCGTAGAGTTAATATTTTCATTATTCATTTACACTTCATTCCACTCCTTATCATATATTGATATATTCAGGCAAGTGCTGACCGCGGCCTTGTCGTCCATGCCATGTCACAGGAGTCTCATTGATGATGGCCTGCAGTCGTCTGAAGATCTTGATAGCATGGTCGGTGACGAAGATGCCAGCAGCTGCAGTTTAGGTGAGTTCTATGTAATAACAATATAAATAACTCGTTTGATCCCTCATATAGTTCGTTATTTATTCGGATGTCTCAATACATTTTATACCTTATAAGTTAGCAAAGGATAACTATAAACTGGGTGCTAAGAGCCTGATCGATTAGCGGAGTTGGCCCAGGCAATCTTACGTCTTGTTACATTTCTGCTAGATCCTACCTTGAATGCATGAAGCTGCGTAGAAGGCAGTACGTACAATTGTGTATAGGTACCTTGTCATTGTCGAAGCAACCTTAGTCTCAGAGTGAAATCGAGTTTTCTTTTCCAGATGATAATGGTGATGCTTGATTTGGAAAATACGAATTATTATCATAGTATACAATAAATTAATGCGTGTAACTCTCTTTTTTTTTTTGCGCAGGCATATATGATAATATATCTCAATATTCTGATACTGATAGCGTTACTTACGCACAATGACAAAGTGAGTTTGGTGTAGCTCAGTGTATTTCAATATAACAAATTTTTATTCATATTGTCCTGTATTCCCCATTACGTTCAATGGAACATTCATTAATTTTATTCGATTGTTAATAAAGTTAATTAAATTGTTCTATATTACGGTGTTATTAAAAATAAAATTCATTGAACAGTTAATGTTACAGCCTAATTGATTAAATAATGATGGTTCTTTCTTTGCAGACCGTCTCTTATGCTGTTTACAGTCTTTTGCCGATGCAATCATGGGATTGCCCAGAAACTCCACCTGGATTGTTTTATTCGTACACAATAACTCCACCTTGATTATTTCATTCATACAGTTTTATGATAGTTTTTTTTTGTTAAGCGATGCATAAATACAAAAACGCACGCACACACACTTACGTACGTACATACATACATTCATGTATAATGTATTCCTATAATTTTTCGCTTATTTTCATTCCACAATGTTTATGTACATAACCAATGTAAACACTTCATTTTCTAACGTTTTTTCTAATTTTACATTATGTTTTTACAAGTATACACAATTGTCTTGTATATTATATATATATATATATATATATATATATATATATTGGTGAATGTTGGTAAAAGACCATAATTAATGCAGTAATTTATGTAACATACCAAATTTTTAGTGTTGGGGAGAGTTTTTTTATTGCGTTTCTCAATATTTCTGACCGAATTCTTGTCGTCATCATTTATTTTATTAAAATTAGAATAATATACAGTTTTCCAATTCATTTTCGACAGATTGAAAAATCGAAATAGGCCCTATACACTCGAGAATGATTTGAAAAACTTTATATTATTCTAACTTTAATAAAAATCTATAATGACAAGAATTTGGTTAGAAATATTTAGAAATGTAATAAATAAAAACTATCCAACGCGGGAAATATGTTAGATTTCATAAATTACTGCATATATATATATATATATGCATACGTATGTGTTATGTATATATATATATATATATATATATATATATATATATATACGTTGATGTGTGCGTTCGTACAATCTTCTACACAAAGCTTATTAAAATGCCTTAACAATTTATATACAAATGATTTTGCAATTTGTGATAAATCACTTTTTAATTAAAATTACTTTGACTCAATTGATTGCGACTGCATCGTGTCCATTAGCAGAATGTTTCGACAATGACTGAAATTTTTGATTATGAAATTAATTTTTAGTTGTTATTATTATTATTGATACTGAACAAGCATTTCTTTCTTTTGCAAATTATTCATTCCTCTGAACAACAGTAGATATTTGCATTATGTTATGTTCTTTTATGAAATTGTCATTTTATTAATTTAATTTAATTTCAAGTCGATACAATTTTTGGCGTTTTAAAAGCGATTTTAGTATTATTACATTTTATATTTTTCAATGGTCAAAATTTGTTATTTATGTATTATTTTTCAAGCCGTGTGTTACTGTATATAAATGTTTTAAATGATTGACAATGAATTATAAATGTTGGTGATTACAATTTACTACTAAGGTTTAAAACATTTTACACAGTGATTTCAGGGTCATTTTTGTCAAGCTTATTAAGTTTGTAAACAAAATTCTTGCACTTTTAACATTGATTTTTATTATTATCTCTATGATTCTCTCGTCTTCTGTATATGCCGTTGACAATGCCTCTTGAAATACGGTGTCATTTTTGTTACATTATTATTATCGTCATTATTGTTACCACGCTAACCACGTTATTGTTGATTTTATTATCATTTACATTGTTCTTTTATTTCCATAATTCTGTTTTTGTAATCGTTGATTAGTAAATAATCAGTTGCGTTTCTCTGTTGTTAGAAAATCGGTAGTTTGTGTAGGCTTCGTTGACAAAAGGTCTTTATTATGATGCTGTTTCGCAACATTCGCATTTTTTATTTAAGCATAATTCGTTGCTGGTTGCTATTGTATGCGCGAAAATTTTCAATTCGAAGTTGCGGTTTCATGTAAAAACGTCGAGGTATAACAACTTGTTATCGTTGGAATCTTTCATAGTACAATTTTATCTTTGTTAAATACTTGCAAGAATTTCGTTTATGAACTTGATAAACTTGAGTATGACTACGTAATCTCTGTTAATATATATATATATATATATATATATATATATATATATATATATATATATATATATATGCAAGAACTTGGAGGTTTTCAAGCCGAAGCTAGATCGGCTAAAATCGCTGGGCTAGGCGATGTCGGTAATTGAATTATTAATTCAAAAACTATAAATATGTTTTCTATTTTTTTCGCGCTTCGCTATATTTTTAATATTGATAATTAATACTAAAACGGAAGTAAGTTTTATAACCTTTGGTTGTCCAAATTTCTTTGTTTTGAGAATTTCTGACCATAGTCGTTTTTATCACTTGGCAAAAACGGCTGGAGTCTAGGGTGGCGAGTATTTGATTAAGAAAAGTAATATTATAAAATGTTGGCGAATTATATTCATGTTAAAGATAAGGTCCGGCTGCCCACGCGTTACCTCTACTACCAACGACTGACGCCAGTCTTTCTTGAACGGCGACCTAAACCATTTTGATGTCTTGGGCGGTGGTTGTGATTGCGGAAAAATCTTTTCTATTAAACTATAGCAATAAATTTCTAACCGAGGTTTTGAATTTAATCGGATAAACGCTTTCAAACAAATTTGAAGAGCTGCGCGATTTCAAAACTTTCAACAGATTAATTAAAAATTATTGTGATTAATTTTTGAAATGTTGAAGGTGGGGATCAGTTTTCTATCAGAGAATATGTAGTTTAAGCCAAGTAAAATTCTTCCCCCTAGATGAATAATATATGAATCTATGATGTTACCGATGTTGGCAATTGTGTCGATATGTGCTTTATATAGTGTTGAAATATTTGGTATACTGCGGTGACAAATTTTGCTACAGAAAAAATTTTTTCTGTCTCTCCAAGATTAAAAATTATTTTCGTAATCAAGTTTATACATCTAAAGATAAATTAAATGATGTTTAGATTTTATCAATAGAAAGTGGTGTTTAATACGATTGTTTTGACAAAATTAATTAATAGATATTTTGAATGAAGGGTTAGGCGCAAAATTTTAAAAGTCCCACTTAAATTTTTTGTTATAAATATGCGTTTTCTGTTACAATCGTCTGTTCTATTAAATTATTCAATAGAATTGTATTTTTTTCTGTGCTATTCTCAACCATCAACGTGTTAGTATAATAATTTCTTTTTCAGAATATATTTGTGAATTTGAATAGATTAGTATGGCTTAGAATAAATGATGTTAAGAGTTTATCATTATCTCTAGGAAAATATCATCGAAATAAATTTCTGCTGTTACTTAAAATAAAAAGGCGATAAGATCTCTGGAGTGATGTTTAATAACAGTCGTAAGGCGATGAAACTGAAATGCATCAGCATGCTTTTAAAATGCTTGGAATGCATGATGCAGAGCTTGCGTGTGCAAAAATGTTTGCACGTATTATGGAGATGAAAAATATTTTGTAAAGCTAAATATTTTTTAAAAGTAGGTCAGGTTGGAAGCATTTTAAAAAGGCAGAAAAATTAATGAACATTTTTTACACATTTTACAAGTTGCAAAATCGAAATAGAATTTTCGCGAAACCAAAATGGAAATAAGGCAATAACGATATTGCCCAAACACCACCTAGAATATTTCATTGGTAAAGTTATTTAATTCAGTTAATGTGATATGATTATATATATATATATATATATATATATATATGAAATCCTCGACAGCAACACCAAAGTAATATACCAGAACAGCAACTACACGCATCTTAAAATTGCAGAAGCAGTCCTAATCGACATCAATAAACCAAAAATAAATATACAACAAAAAATGACAACCTCACTTCCAACCCGGCGCTTAACCAACAACGAAAACAAAGAAGTAATAAAAACTAGCATCGTAAATATGATGATGACAAAGAAGAATATGATGCTATCGATGAAGAAAAGGAGACCAAAGAAGATGACCAGCCAATTAAGAAACCTGACAACTAATTCGCATCAAAGTTCAATTTTACAACACCAAAGTTAATTTTTACAACGTCAAAGTTAATCTTGACAAAGTCAATATTTCCTTATATATACAACAAGGAGCACTGACGATGATTCATTCGGAATCGAAATATGGCCTTATTTGCAGCATGAATTCGAAAAATAAGTTTATTTTGAATTTTAATAAACTAAACGTTCACCAAAAAACTTTAGTGAGAAAAATCGAAAAAACGAACTACAAACATATTAACGCCAAACATTCGGTAGAATTTATAGAATATTGTAAATATATATATATATATATATATATATATATATATATATATCCATGGATACGATACATTTTTCACTATTTCAAAGAAAAAATGTTTAACTATATACAGATCCGGTGCCCTATATTTATGCATTGCATAACCTCTGGTTTATAACAAACTTTTTCACATATAAGTAACATATTTGCATTGCCACTTGCTAAGTTTAATTTCGCGTTTTTTTCTTTTCTTTACTCTCTCTCGCTCATTTTCCCATTCATCTTCCTACCTTTTAAGTTTGATCAGAAGTTTTTCTATATTACATCAAAAGGGTTTTTACCATTTTCAGATAAATGTATGCGTTGGATTTTTGCGCGATAATGAAGCAACTACTCGTTAAACATTGATGCATTTTATTCTGCATAATAATAAAATTCTCATTCGCTATCGCTTGCTGGCACTAATGAATAATTACGAAAATAGATATGTATGTGTATTTGTATGTATACCAGTAAAATGTGGTAGTAGCAATCCTTTTTTGAATTTTTTTATTGAAATCGATCTCTATTACAGCGTTATTAAACTTATATACACACACACACACACACACACACACACACACACACACACACACACACACACATATATATATATATATATATAAAATAGTTCAGATTAAAACTCAATTTTTTATATAAGTAAACTACGAAAATAAGTTTTAATAAGATAGCTAGAAAACTTAACCAAAGAGTCTGATAAAACTATTTAACTACCAGCAATCGACTTAATACATTTTGTATGGGTATGCATATATTATGTATATATATTTGTCATGTGAATATAGTTCGAAAAACTATATTTAAATTATTATTGGTGACAAATTTAATTTACAAACATCAAACGAAAAAACATGTATTAAATAAATAAATAATAACTATATATATATATATATATATATATATATATATATATATATATACATATATATATATATTACAAGCATATACGTTAGTGTTTATACACTTGATGCTGTATAAATAAAAAACAATGGACATGATTTCACCAAAAATTGAAATAATTTTTACATCATCGATAAAAACATTCACTAAATTTGAAATAAAACGCGATTGGACTCCATGTTGAGATATGTATTAGAGGTGCCTGCGAAATGGTCGTGCTGGTTAACATGAACCCTGAGTCTATACGGGTCGAACCCGCTGATTAGTTACGCTCAAAACAATGTTATCAAACAATACAAAGTATTCAGAAAAGTGAGGCGAAAACTAAATGTGGGTACAAATATAAAAATTTATGAAAGTGAAAGTTTGATCTCGATGCAGGTTATCCATCATTCGATAATCTTGACGTAATTTCCAGGAAAGGTGCCGTACAAGTTGCTGGCCTCACAGACGCCCACGTACCAACCGTCGTCACACTTTTCGACGATTCTTATGATGTCGCCGGTTCTCAGCGATAGCTCATCCTCGTTCTGTGGCTTGTAATCGTACAAGGCCACGCACCTGCCGGCGGCAACATTCGTTAACATTTTTTTAAGAGTTGAACATTTTAATGTAGTATACGCAAAATAACGTTATACAATCTTCTATTATCGAAAACTTTCAGTTTTTAAAATGATTATTTTAATATTGTAAATTGTAAATTGTAAAGATTCGTTGAACTTAATTTTTGGCAAATCTTAACATTTTATAAAATTAGATAGTTTCCGTCACATCATGTATAATGTTCAACATCCGATGGCTTAAATATTGGATAATGTGATTTTAACAATAAACAACGATCTGTTCTGTTTATTAAGAAATAATTGCCTTTTTTAAAATTCTAAAGATAAAAAACAAATGAGCCAAATTATTTCGAAAGTAATAATTTTTATACGAATATTTTGAGAAGAATAATCTTATTTCAATATTAAAAACATTCCCACTGTTGCTAAAATATTTCAAAAACATGACATCTCAATTAATTCAAATTGATTTAGTGAAAATATTTCAAATTGACTCATTAGTAAAACAAAATCTATGTGGTTATCAACTAACTTTTCGGTGAAACAGTTTTTGATTTCATCCACATAACGAACGATGTTTGATTTTGAAGGTGGGTTAAACAAGCTGCCATCATATTGTGAAAAACTTTTTTCATCGTGGAAAATATTTTCCGTTGAATTCTTATGAAGAATGGAAGGTGACGATCGATTGTTACACGATGTATAAATTGTTCCCTTGTAGCACACCGGCCTGAATTTCCTCATGTCCTCCTCGGATTGTTTGTGATCATTCGTTGCTAAATAAATGTTTTCATATGCATTGTTTAATTTTGGTTGGTTGCCTGTATGGCTGACAGCGATTTTGTTATTTGCGAAGGTTCCAACAGACACTGGAATATATTTTGATTTCTTTGTTCTTAACGAAGTTTCATTTTGCTCGCTGCTGCTGTCATATTTTCGCGGTAAAGACAACTTGAAATAATTTGCCGATGTAATATCTCGAAGGATTAAAAAATTCCAACTAAATAACTTTCAACTTGTAGAGCAATTGTTAGTACAACTAAAACAACACAGAAAATTGATTCGTTGTACAAACCAGTAGAAGAGGTGGACAAGTCCTTGACGACTTGAACGTATGATGCTGGAAACAGTCCTTGCCTGCCTCTTAAACGGCCTTCAAACCAATTCTCATCAACTTTCCTTATCAGTGTCACCTCGTCGTTCTTTATGTAACAACATATGTTATGTATGTAACATGTGTAACTTATGTACGTAAGTAACGTATGGGGCTTATACGACGTATGCATGCGGGGCAACAGCTTAAAAGTCCACATTTATTTAAATATAATGTATCAACCAGAAATTGTTTGTAAAAATTAACATGCACATTAATTTTTGAGGTAATGTGAAGAATTTAGAAGAGTGCTAACCTTGCGCAGTGAGAGTTCGATTGGAAGCCTGCCAATGAAATCGTAGGTTGCAACGGCCATTCCTTCCCTCTCATTTGCCATTCGCTTGGCTTCGTCCAAAGAGAAAATAACCTTCAAGAAAAACATCCACACACTGACTGACGTCAATTTAATGCCAGTTAACTTTTTCTAACGACTTACATCAACGTAATTTGATGGGAAGATTCCAGCTTGACCATTTATTTCACCTTCGAACCAATTTCTATTTATTTCTTTTATCAGAGTAACTATTTCACCTTTTTTCAAGGCCAACTCACTGAAAACAAAATTTAAAAAAATTTATATTTTGCAAAATCTTAGTTTTCAAACCAAACTTTAGTGAACCAAACAAACTTTGGATGATGAGGCACAAAGTTATATATCACTCTTGCCTTTCCTTTCTTCGTCAACGAATTATCTCGAGAACTGCAAAACATTGTTCTGTATTTTAATTCTTAAGGGAATCACTCATAGTTTAATTATTTTATGTGAAAAATTATAATTTCTATGAGAACATGGTCATATTACAAAATGAAAAATATTGGCCATTTAAGTTACAATTTTACGATTATTTTGATTACCTGTGCTTTTCTTTAACAGGTACTGCTAGGTTCTCACTCTTTTTTTCTACCTGTAAGTGAAAATAATTATACCAATAGCTTAAACGCAGTTTTGTTTGGTTGGTTAGTTTTATCTAACTGTAAAAAATGTTGATAATATTTCTCGTGGCCATTATCATTTTAATCATTATTCAATAATGTAATGACCACGAACATTACCTGATTTGTTGGAACCTGCCTCAACCTGTCAGACACTTTCTGCTGATGATGTAGGGAAGGACGACTTGATGAATAGCTGCTTTTTTGAATATTTTCCTTCACAGTCTTGCATTTTTCAGGTTTTTTGACAGACGATGAAATTTCAATGAATGGATGCACAAAATAATTTGCCGCCGGTGAATATTTGGAAAGTTTTTTGACAAGTTGCTGAGAATCTGTCAAAGTTAAAAGTTTCTATAATTATTTTCAGATATACATTAAATATTATTTTATTCCCATGTAACTTTTTCAAACAAATTGGATCAAAAGATAATAAATTTTTAAATTTCGTTCTTATTTTGCTTTGTCATTGTACTTTAACCTTTCATAACAATTATGACAAAATATATTTTCTGTTGCTAAACAAATAAAAATGCAAACTATGAAACCTTGAGCGGCTCTATACGGCACGCGGTCCATCTCCATCTTGCTGGTGTTAGTAAATTCCATCGAAGTGTGGGGACGCACGGGCATGTCGTCTGCGTTCGTCACGTTCATTCATTTCAATTAATAACAACATCTATTAATAACAATTTATCTCAAACTATAAAATCTTTTACCAAGTGCGTTGTCCTTTTCTAGATGTTATTTGTGATAATAGTTGTTAAACTAATTTTTTTTATAAAATTGAACACTACAATCTCAAATAATTGCATTGAATTTTGCGCATTAAATAGGATCAATGTCTCCTATGAACGTTTGTGAGCAGAATGTTTCATTTGTTTTCTACGACGTGCCAACTATAATTTTCTACGGTAACTGTTGTGTATCTATTCAGATTACATAAATTACTCTGCCACCAATTAGCAGAAGATAGTTTGGAAATAATAGAAATTGTTTCCTACATTTTGTTTTGAACGGGTTAGGGGTGTTGTTCTGCTGTTTCTGGCCGTCAGCAGCAGCTGAATACTTTTCATTGAGTATCGGAGTCCACCAATCCTGTGCGTTATATAAATTAAAAAATTAATAAATACAAATAATAAAATTAGTTATTTTAAATAAACATGTAACGAATGACTGCAAGGGCAAGGACGAATGACCTCGGAAAGACAAGAGTCAGTGTCTTCATCGTTGTAAGTGGACAGGTTTGAGATGGTCTCGTATCTGCTCTCCACGTCGCTAACAGGAGTTTCCCGCTTGATGCTCTTCACTTTTATTGCCAACGATTTTTTACTTTTGCTTAGTGGCTCGTTGCAAAAGATTTTGCACGATGATGATGATGGCACTGAATAAGTTGATCGTGTAAAAAATAATTGGTTGTTTTCAGTTACGCATGTTTATGTAATAACAGACTGATGTGATCAACAAAATATTAAATCAAGCCATCCACAATAAATACTTTTTTGGGCCAAGAGTGGCGAAGATGATGGCGATGAGAGCAAGGAGGAAGGTATGAAAATATTTAAGGCTGTTGATTTCTGCGCGGCTCGTTGTTTTTTCACGGGGTACAACTTCTCTTCAATATTTCCGCCGTGCTTCGGACCTTTTGTTTTTTAAATTTTGTAAGATTCAAATAATTTTAGTAAATATTTAATTATAAAACATTCATTAATTTCAACATTTTTTCCTTTTCTCATTCTTCTAATTAGAAGTCATGAATACTGACAGAAAAATGTATCTAGCTATATATTTTTTAAATGTAATCATTTAAAAGAGAAAACTTGAGAGGGACGTCTGCCGTGTGACCTGGTTCAAATACAAGCAGAGGAACGAGTAACGAACGTAAATGATTCGTTGTTATATAGAGATTCATACGTCATTAATAGATTCTTCTTTTATGGTGAAAAAGCCCCTTCCTATTATTACATATTACTACATATACTATATGTGTTCTGAATTGTGTTAAATAAACTTCAGTGGTTTGTTGAGCAGCTTCTAATGTATTTGACTAATCGGTAATGTCTTGAGACGGAAGTTTCTGTTTAAACACAAGACTGTACAAGTACATACACGTTATGAAGTTGACATAAATATGAGAAAAGTTATAAAAAATAAAAGAAACTAACAAAATTAATAGAAAAATTGATTCGTTAGATAATGTTTATTGTTATTAAATGAACAACATTTGTCAGATAAACAAAACAACGTTTTATATTCAGACAATCATTGTAGTTTCGTTTCATTAATGAAGAAAGAACAATTGAAAAATTTAAAACATTAAGAAGAGTTTAACTTGGAATAAAAAATTGAAAAAATGAAAAAAATCAAATGTGGTGTACAAAGAGATATAGTGAATATTTCAAATAACGAGTAAAAGCGTAAACAAAAAGTATGTCATAACAGAATTTTAGTTAGAAATAATGCTTTCAAAAACTGATAAACATCTATTATTCGAGCATCATCGTCGTCTGTTGTAAAAAAAATCCTGAAACATTGCCTCAGTAAACAATGGCATAACATTGAACGGAATGTTCTTACAAACAGGTCAATAACAAATAGATGCTGTGCGTCATCGCGTTTCTATTATATTTTATAACAATAATAATCTCACAGAACAACCTTCTGCAGACCGTTGATGATGTGTAGAAATCTTGTATATCTTCCTCCTATCTGACATTTGATCAGACTCCTCATTGAAACGCAAATAAAATTCAATTTTTAATCGATTTAGATATGAAAAGGAAAACAACTAGCTTCGCTATTTAATTTCTCACTAAGTATTGAAATTAAGCTTATTGTTACAATCAAAATTTTAATTTTTAAATACGTTATGCAAAAATTTAGCATATAGTTTATTATACGATAAAGATAAAATGCGAATGCCTTCCTAATATTTAGTCAAATTCAAATTGTAAGTATCGTTTGTCTGGACCATCAATTTAAAACGTTAACCAATAATTTATATTACGGTAAACAAACAAACCTTTAAAATAAAATAATATTAATAAAAAAAAGGAGACATTAATAACAACATGAAAACAAACAAAAGCAAAAACAATATTTAAAGCAAACCTCAGTTGAAAATGGTTGAGAATAGGTAGTTATGCATTTTAAAACTGTACAACAAACGAAATTTCGTTTATTCCGTAAAATTATTGAAACTTTGCAGTGGTTTCATGGCGCTATGTACGCCCTTTAAACTTTATAATGAAGAGTTTCTAAAAGCCTAACAAAACATATTTGTTTTCGTATGCTGCTCACCAAGAATTCTTCCGAGCTGGAATACGATGCATCATGAAGTGCATACCTCTTTGTACTATATACACACGTACACATACATACATGCACATAAATGTATATATATATATATATATATATATATATAATAATAAATACATCAAGAGAGACACATACAAAAACACAAACACATACACACAAACACACACACAAACACACACACACACACACACACACACACATATATATATATATATATATATATATATATATACATATATATATTGGATTTAGACTGTCATAAATGCAATTATTGATGAAAATCATGTTCCGCGTTAGTTAATTTCCTGTTTAATTTTTCGCTTTTCTAACCGTAGATAGTAAACCATACAAAACGTATCAACTCGAACATCAAAGATGGTATGGGAAAACTGAAAAAAGGTTTTTGTTCGATCATGTTTAAAAGTTCTCTCATGCTTAGAATGAATAAAAATTTTGGCTTAGAACTCAAGAAACTTGACAATGATTTACGATCTACCGATAGAAAAATAGAAAAATTAAACAAGAAGTTAACTAACGCCAAACTTGCTGTGATTTCTTCTAAATTCTTCACATTACCTCGAAAATAAATGTGCATGTTAATTTTTGCTGTGGTTTCCATCTTTCTCTCTGTCTGTCTCTGTCTGTCTCTGTCTCTCTGTCTTTCTCTCTCTCTCACTCTCTCTCTCTCTCTCTCTCTCTCTCTCTCTCTCTCTCTCAGAGGCAAAAGCAATAAAATCGAGCAAAAACTTTTTTTTCATTTACGTTACCAAATATCTGTAAATCAGTAAAAAAATTAATCTACAACCGAAAATACATTAATTGTTTCAGATGGTAAAAAAATTTTTGTTTGTTATAGGTGTTCATAAATTGAGTTCTTTTTTAAAATTTTATAATCTGCATATCATTTATCATTTATATTTATTTCGGCGATACTTTTTCATTTAAGTAGAGCGATAGCGGAGATAGCGATTAAAGGTGTTCTAACAAACCAACCAGCTAACTAATTTAATTTTGTAAGTGAATGTATATAATGGATACAGTCATAGAAAAAGAAAACCTTAAAGATCGATACGCCATTAATGTTACAGCATAATTTAAAAACTTACAATTATATAATGTTACATGACTCTAAGTAAAAAATAATAATAATAATAATAATCTGTAAAGTTTATACAGCGCTCTTTCAAGTCCTCATGAACGCTTCAAGCTGTTTGTACCAGAAAGACCGAATTCTCCGCAGCACACGACGCACGTACACGTTATGAATGCACGCACAAGCACCGCATCATTCACGCGTGGCATATGGTAGAGTTTGAGTTTTTGACTAACAGTATTCGAACCAGGAACATATATAGAATTTTATTATATTATAAAATGTTATCATCTATATATATGGAACCAGGCCATCGCGTAACTGCACGAGCTATCACACCGGGGGCAGCGAGTATAAAATTTCATTATCTTTGGTTTGTGGGCATCCTGCCTCCTATATATATTCGTGGGATATATGTTCGTGCAGGTAATTTCACTAACGGTTCTAATTGGAATCTTCTGTTTGAGTTTAAATATCAATATATTGTCGTCAGACTTTCTCTTTAAATTAAAATGGAAGGAAGTTCGTACAATTTAGACAACGATCAAGCTGTTCAGTTATTCGAAAATGGAGGCATCGTTCTATTGCTAGATGTACCAACAAACACTGAGATCGGTTTGGATTACAACAGTTGGCAGACTGGGGAAATGTTCAAAGGGATCAAAATGATTCCTCCTGGCTTCCACTTTATTTACTATAGGCATGTTTGTATCATTATTATTTATTTTAAAATGAAACTGCTTTTTTGTCTAAATTTTTGCTTTTAATTTTTAATAATAAAAATAAATCATGATTTTTTGATCTTAGAAAATTTTGAAGAATGACAATGCACTGTTTAATTTAATATTTAATTAATGCTAATTAAGTTATTAATCTATCCTTTTCTTTTAATAACTTAAATTCAAAATTAAAATGAAGTCAATTTAATTTAAAGTCAATTATATTTTTTGAATTAAATTAAACTTCAAAAGGTATTGCTTATAATTTTATTTAATAATTTTTGTAGATGGTTATTTACATGTTTTCCATTTTGAAATATCTATTCTTACTACTTTACTAAATTCAAAATTATATTATTATTGCTGTTATGTCAATACAAACAAACAACAACACACGTTTAGACGACATTTTTCCGAGATCAGGGATTGCCGTTTGGCTACCTATGATGAAACCGAAATACCGCTCGACACCATTCCCATCTTTCACTCGCCTCAGTATCACGCAACCCCGCTTTCACTCTGTCCTTCTCCCCCTGCTCTCTCCATCCCAATTGCGGCAACTCCTTCCTATCACTCCTTCAACCTCGAACTCCAACGCTTGCCTAATCCCTTCTCAACACATGTCCATACCACCACAATCTCGATCTCCTTATCAATGTCACAATGTCCTCATTCAGTCCCATCATCAACATACTACTCCTATCCTTCACTTTAACCCCACACATCATCCTCACCATAGCTCTTTCAGCTCTCTGCAGTACACTTTTCTCCTCTCTCCTCAACACCCAAGTTTCACCACCATATACCATCGCTGCTCTCACACATGCTTTATATACCCTTCCTTTCATCATCACTGACCATTTCTTTCCACACAATACCCCACCCAGTTTCCTAAATTTCATCCATCTCACACGAACTCTAGTCGTAACAGCGCTCAAACATCCTCCATTCGCGTTCAGCTTAGCCCCTAAATAAACAAAGCTTTTATGGCAATATAAATACAAAATAACAATATAAAAAGACAATATAAAAAACTAAAGCCTTTTTAAAAAAAGACAACAAAAACATTCTTATTTTCAGTTCTGTTGACAAAGATGGAAAGATTTCACCAAGAACAAGCATCATGCACTTTTTTAATGAATCAGAAGTTCTCATAAAAAAATGGGACGCTGGTTTAGAAGGTAAATTTTATGTTTCAAATTAAGGCTTTTGATTGCATTTATTGGATAATCACATCATGATTATTGTTATTCATCTGAGGTTGGGTAAGTTTCTTAAATAAATATATGTTTTTACATGTTAAACATATTTCATACTCACATCTGAGTAAGGCTTGAAATTTTTTAAACCCCTACAGGCTTGCATTTATTTTTCTCATTCATTTTTTATGCTATTTTTCCACATATATTATTTTAGTTATATTTACTTAGCTAATCTATTTACCTTTGAGGTTCATGCATAGAAAATGTAAGCCACATAATTTTTTCACAAAATTGTTTCAGTTAACAATGGTCTTTAATCTTTATTGTTTCCAATCAAAATTTAAGCTAGTTATTCATCTTGCCTTCAGTTTTGTAATTATTGTCAAGCTCAATTTTTATTGTGTTTCTTTGTTATTTCACATTTCTCCCTTAAAATAGTATTATGCACAATTTTTTAATAACAATTAAAGACTTTGTTGATGAGAACGACTCAGAAACAATAGAAAGATACAAATGTAACAGAAGGGAATTGGATAAATATCTTGGTGCATATCCCTATGACAAGTAAGTTCAGCTATTTTTTTGTTTGTTAATAATCAGGATTGTAATTTCAATCATCATCTCGCTTTCCATAATTTTTTAGCCACAGGAAATGGGTTTCGTTGACTAACTTTGTATCTAAAGATGTCCTTGATCGAATAAACCCAGAATCAGACAGGGTGTCATCTGTGGCACAGTTTCAATCCCTCTCGAGCACCACTGAATCTAGGAAAAATGCCAAAGACATGAGTCATGGTAAAAAAATAACAAAGGGTTTGTTAAGTTTAATCAAAGTTGATATTTTATAGAATATAATTCAGTTGTGTTCTTCACATTCTTTTAGTAGTAATTGAAATATTATTATACTTTTGAAATGATATAATTGTGAGAAATCTATTTGCTACTCCGTTAAATAACAGTAAAATATTCATTGCTTATTCTTCACAATAATATGCAAACTTAGGTTACATTTTTTACATTTCATTTATTGTATTAAATTTGTAAATGATTTTTCAAATGAATATACGTTAGATATGTTTTGACTAGTGTACAGCTGGAAATCATGGTTTTTATAATTAAAAAAATTTGAATTTAAAATTTAATTTCATAATATACATAGATGAAATCAGGAACAGTGAAAAAGAAGATTTTATGAACTCCAAATTGCCTCAGATGAATGTTATTCCAGGCACCGAATTAAAGTTCTCAAACATTCCAAAAATTAATCATGTTGGTTCTCCATCTGAAATCACAAAATACAACATGGACCAAAGTCACAAAATCAAATATCTTTTAAAATATACATCAAGTGCTGAAAGTTTACTTGGAGAACTGCAGATTTGTTTCGTTTGCTTTCTTATGGGACAGGTAAATTTTTTATGTATTCATTTGTTTCATTATCATTTGTTCATTCTGTTTAACTGTCTCTTTTAGCCAACTGTTTCAATAGCCTGTTATTGTTTTGCCCTTTTTCTGCCTTATTCTTCTTGTTGTCCTTCTGTTAAGAGGAGCCCAAACCTTTTCAAAATCCTGCTCTGAAATTATTTATTAATTTTTACTCTTGCTTGTTTTCAGGCATATGAAGCGTTTGAACAGTGGAAAAAATTAGTCGGCGTACTTTGTCAATGTGTTGATGCCATCACGGAGTACCCTGATTTATATTTTAAATTCATCAATGTTTTGCACTACCATATAAAAGAAATACCCGAAGATTTTTTTGTAGATATTATTTCTAAAGATAATTTTTTAAGTAAAACTTTGAGTGAGTTTTTTGAAAATTTGGAGGTTAGTGATTGCCCTGATCATCTGAAACAAAAAGGACTAAGATTCAAAAACAATTTGCAAAAACGATTCAATTTAAGTTTTGATTGTGAACTCGGAGAATTTGCACCAGTTGTTGTTGAATAAATTTTAAATTTCATTTGTGCTTTTTTTTTAATAAATTTCAAATAAAATGTGATGTATTTTCTGACTATGTGCAGTTTGGGTGTTGCATTGACAGATGCGTGCAGTCTTGAGTATGCCTCAGGTCAAGGATTAAGGTACTTTAAAGTGGTGACCTATTTTTTCTAATTTCCATTTCGGTGGAGAATGATTTAAAATTTTAAGTTGACGACCTCTAATACGATGCATTTCTACTTGGATCAGCCACTGCAAACGGACCAGCGGAACACTTATGAAAAATCACTTACACATCTGACAGCGGTAAACAACTCATCTAAACTGGACAAATTTATTGCTAGTCTTTTTTTAAAACTGTAAAAAGTATGTCGTCTCAAAACGAAATGTACAAAGACATAGAAAACCATTCAACTTTTTGTTATTAGTACACGTTTTCACAGAGATTATGTTTGTTTTTAATAAAAAAATATTTAGCAAAAAAATATATTTACTAAAAACTTTGCGCCAAAGAGTGTTGCGTTTCTAGAGAGGATTCAACGTTTTTACGCTGTGGCAATGAACGTTGTTGCGTCATTTTTTAACATCAACAATAAAAAATCGGTATTGCAAAGAATGTTTTCACTAAAATATGAATTTTATTCTACAGTTGTAAAAAAAAATATTTTTCTGAAGAGCATAACAGATTTAGCATGTTGCAAGAAAAGATTCTACAAAACCATTAAACGCGCGATTTTCTTTATGGGAGACCCCTAAGGGATCGGTATTGAATTGTTATTTCCAACTTATTTTGGTTAACGACACTTAGGTCTACAATAATAAATCATAAAAAGTGAACGGACAACATCAATAGCCCTTTCGAAAATAATGTATGTGGTTCAAAATGAAATTATTCAATAGGATTGTGCAAAATTTTACGATGCAGTAATCGTGGATTTCAAAGGACAGAAATAATGGATTAAAAATTACACGCCGTAGTTACGTGACACTTTGTTCTACAGCGGTAAACTAATTTCTTCATTTAATTTGATGTGAAATGAGTTTGTAACAAATAAGCAGAGCTAATAAATTGCTTGTTAAATAACTGCGATTATGAACACATTTTGCATTTCCATGGTGTGAGCTCATCTTGTGTGATTCTGAAAAAGTAATTATTCAAAATACTTTTTAAAAATATAATCAACGAAATCGTTTTAAAATCATTTCAAAATTTGTAATATACTTACCGGCAGCAGTTTTAAAAATAAATTTTTCGGATTGAGTTGATGTACCAATATCAGTTTTAGCAAATATCTGCAGTTGATAATTGGTCTTAGGATTTAAATTGGAAAGAATATACTCCACAGATGGTTTATATGCGTTTTCGTCTTTGGTTTTAGACACCCAGTTTTCTAAGGGTTCAGAGATGCCATCTTGTTTCATTCGTACCTAATTTTTATTTTTGGTGAGTGTCAAAGGCATTTCATGTATTAAAAATGATTTTTTATTTATTCATTTGTGTGCCGCTTAAACTTTTTAAAAAGAAAGAATAAAGTAAAAACTTACTCTTCTGTAACGTATTTCATATTCTTTTATAGGCTTTCCTCCTGTCTTCGGTTTTTCCCAAACAATTTTGTAACTCCAAGGGTCCTTGCTTTGTTTTGGCGAAACGAGTTTTATTGGATATGGTTTTGCTGTAAAAAAAAATGAAACAAGAATCACCGATACAATAGAAACATGAAAATTTAAAAATAAAACAGTACTTATGTTTAAAGTCGTTGCAACCAACTCGCGATATTTGCCTACACCAACTTCGTTCCTCGAACGTACTTTGAATTGGTATTGAGTTGCAGGTTTTAAATTTTCCATTTTCAAATCGTCACCTAAGAGTAAATTTGAACTTACGTAAACCCTATCAAATATGTTATGCTAAGTTACCAAATACATCGTGCAAGGCAAATTACAAGCCACACGTAACTCAGCATATCTCAGGTCAAAATGAAAATAGAAACAAATTTCAACCTTGGGAACCAGTTGTCGACACGTTTCCATCTGTATTAAAATATAATTGTGTTTGAAAAAATAAACATTTAAATTTCATTTTACTTAATTTAATTCAATTTCAAAATTGGAAAATATTAGGAATAAGAAATAAAAAAATAAGAAAAAATTAACTGCAAATATTTTGTGTACGCAACAATAATATTGCAAATCAAAATAAAACATGTAATGCAAATTATTTTGGATAAGTTTTGACATGTATTGGCTAATTTATAAACATATCAGAGTTTAGTTGAAATTAAATAACATACGCATGGTCGTGAAATCAGTAACTTTGTTGTTGTATTCTATCCTATAGCCGAGAAGTTTGACGCCTCCTACAGAGAAAGGAGGCTTAACGTTAATAATAAGGAGGTTTGGTGTGTTTTCCTTCACGCTTGCATCGGAGGGTGGGTCTGGGAGAGCTGATTTGTTCAAAAAGTTTACTTTTATCACTGAATCGTTGTGATCAAAGGTAAATAGCGCTTACAAGCCCTGGAATGCAAAATTTTCATGTCTTTACTTCCTTTGTTATTTTTTGCCCTACAAATATATTCTCCAAATATCCAACTTTGGTCGGCTTCTCTTACTCGAATCTGATTGAATTTTCAATTTAATTAGTAAAAATAAATTACAAATTAATACTGACATAATGATTGAAAGTATCAACGCTCACAAACTTGTAAACTACTGTTTCTGGCCGAAGTAAAAATGTTAAAAGTTTCATTGTTTGTAAGTAGTCTTTCAAGATGCCACCATTCAAAAGTCGGATGAGGATTACCATGGGCATTACAAGTTATATTATGCAATCTACCGGACCAACTAAATACTTGCCTTATGTGGTCACTCGGAAACTTTGGTTGATCTATTTGATTGATTTATGTTGAATTTGATTGAGTGCTTACAAAATAATTTATCTTTCTCTCAAATGACAACTTTTAATGTAATGTAGAAGTTTTTATGAAACACGATTAAAATGTACAATCATAAAAAATTTGAATATCAAAAGCAAAAATTTATTTTCAAGTAAAAACGTAAAAAATTTAAAATTGGTTGGATCAATCTATTAATACATCCAAGGCATTTCTTTGTTTTTCATCGTGCAAGAGTTTGTAATTATTATTGTAGACAAACAAATTTATAGTAAAATTTCATTCGTTGTTTGACTCTTTTGTATAGAAACGGTCAGTACAGAGCAAAAAAGAAGTTGCAGTGGAAATAAATAAACTTTTTAGTATACTTCGAAAAAATATTCATTCTGAAATGTGAAAACTTTCTATATTATGCAGTTGCAGGATAAAATTAATAAATTAGTAAAGTTAATAAAATTAGTAAATTAGTTTTCTAACAGTGGACTGTCAAGTGACTAGTAGCATTGTGTTCTCCCGCTGAATTTTTGGTCAGACAAGTGTAGTTAGAGCTATCGTGTGGTTGAACTTTCTTAATTTCTATTTCTAAAATGTTTGCAGGCCGATGCCTCACAGTTATTCTTCCTCCATCCTTAAATTTATTTTTAACGCAAAATTTGGTTACGCCGTTAAAACTTTGATGAAGTTAAAACGATCCAAATATATAAAACATTTAAAAAATAAATTTGACATTTGAAACAATTAAAAAATCGAATCTGACATTTGACCCGTTTTTAAATGGCGAGTGTCCAACTTTTTGAAATTCCATAAAAGGCATTGGGTCCCCGTGACTCTTGCACGTTATTTTTGCATCTTGACCTTCTTGTGCTGTCACATTCTTCAATTCATATATATGCGGCGCAACTGTGTTGTTCGTTTAAAATAACGTTGTACAAATAAAATTAAACACTTGACATTAATCACCAAGCAAGCTATTTGCAACCGTTAGAACTTGTATTAATAATAATTTTGGTTATTGTATTAACGATACTTTATCGAATCTTTACATATGATTATTTTACAACGGACCTAAGACATGCAAGGAGCCGTTAGCAGATGCCTCACCGACGTCGTTTAAAGCTTTGCACCTATAAATACCATGGTCATCTTTTTTTAACGGTTTGAAGGTCAGCTTACCGAGATGGCTGTCGATTTGAATTCTGTCCGACGGTGAAGAGGTTAACAATTTTTCATTTTTACCCTGACGTTAAATTTAATTTTAATTTAATTATTGGAAAAAGAATATAAATACAATACACGCACTTTGTAAAATTCATAACTTGGCATGGGATCGCTTTCAGCTTTACAATACAATGACAGTTCGTGTCCAGCTATCCCTTTCTGATGCCCTGGTCCATGAATCATTACAGGCGGCACTGCAGAAAGCATTGTTTTTCATTAAAGATTGGAAATTAATTCACGTTAATTACAATTATTGAATTATTGTTATTAATATCTACATATTTTCAACAAAATTTGGGAACACAGGAACTGAATTAATCAGATGCCGATGAGAAAAAATAAAATGATGTAGTTTTAGTTATTAACAACGGACCTGTAAGAAACAATTAAGTGAGTTTGTGTAAATTTATTCTAACCATGCACGACGACGGTAATTCTCTTTTCATCGTATCTTCCACTGTCTGATATTTCAGCTATGCACGTATAATTTCCATTATCAGCCAAGGAAATATTTTTTATTTGCAAACCTTTAGTTAACTGTTTGTACTTGTCGCCTAAAAATTGAAATTTTTAATATTCGAAAGAATGGCTTGAAAAAACAGTTTTTCCATCATATTTGACAGATTAAAAAACAAAAAAAAACATTTTAAATGTTTTTTTACATTTTAAAAAACATTTTAAATGTTTTTTTACTAATATTAACCGTAAATAATTTTTTTCCCGTTAAATCTCCAGGAAACTTCGGGAGCAGGCACTCCACTAACTTGACATTCGATGATGGCTGTCGTGTGAATGCGAGGATGTTGAGGATTGGGAGCATGGTCGAAGGACATGTCCTCTGTTATATTTTTAAAATTACAATTTCTCAAAATATTTCCATTAAAATTCTGATTAAATTTTATTAAAAAAAACATAAATTCGAATGATTTATTGTGAAAGAGAAAAAAGTCTAGCTTACTGAAAACGGATAACTTGATGCTTTTAGAATTTGTGATATGACCGACGCGGAATGCACAACGATAATCGCCAGCATCACTTTCAATTATTCTCCTTATCACTAATTTCTTGGCCTTAGTCCCATCTTTAGCAACAACCACCCTCTCACTGCGTGTTCATTTGTAAATCTTTGATCATTTTATAATCATGAATTTAATATATAATAAATATTTCAACATTGTAAAAAAGTTTAAGAAAGGATTGAAGAGACAACGGAACAGTAAGGGCATTTTTTCTAAATGTTTGCAATATGAATTTCAAAATTGTTTGGAAAAATTTCAATATGATCGAAAATTTTCTACTCTTTATCACTGGTGATTTCCTTGTTGTGGTTGTTGAACCATTGAATGATGATGTTGCCTTCAAGCTCGCCATCCCCAGAAAGATCACAAACTTCGCATGAAAATGACGCTCCCGAACCCAACGAGCCCAAAAATTCTGCTTTTGCTGGCTTTATTGTCAACTCATACTGCCCTGCAAATATAAAAAAAAGTCGTTAGCTGCAATTTCATTGAATATTAAACAAATAAAAATTTTGATTAATAGTTTCAATTAATGATAATTTAATTTATTACTTTGTAAGCGAGATTAAAATAATAATTATTTACATCATTTGTATTCGACGCTGAAAAACGTTTTTTTAACCAAATATTTATTCTGGATATTTTAAATCAACGGTTATTTTCTATCATAACAGATCCGATTTGCAAAAATTTTGTAAGAAATTTTTTAAACCTCAAATGCTGGATGATTAGGATGCATCATCTAAAAACCTATTGCTTTTTTCATGACAATGAGGCGACACGTCAAAATCATTTTAAAGGCATTAAAATAACGTGTAATTTTGAGCATAAAAATAAACTCATAACGAGTCTAATAATTTTTTTTTTAGTAGAAGCATTAAGAGAAATAGCGGGCATTAATAACGAGATTTGTAAGTAAATCTATTAATTAGTAATATATTATTTTAAATTAAAATTCTAATTGAAATTATCCAATAAAATATTCAATAACTGTAATGCCAAATAAATGTTTAACATGCTTCTTGTTAAGGAAACTTTTAAGAAAATATTGCAAAAATTCTAACCCAGAGTGTACTGAATTAACGTGAAGCCTACAAATGAAAGTAAACCGTACATGAACAGGCAATAATCTATTTGATTTAAAAAATCAACGGACTTTCTTGCAAAGGTTCGATGATAATATATAAGCACTTTGTGTACATAATAGTTTTTAGCAGTCTATGTTTGCAAACAATAAGAAAACTCTTCTATTTTGCAGGCAGCAGTAATGATATGTACGTTACGTTACTATAATTATAGATAGAAGCTGCATAATCGATTGCATTTTCCCTGTTAGCTGTTGCGAGACTCCAGGCTTCCTGCCTGACATGTCCTCACATTTCACTGTGATCATATGCATATAATGTGCCGATATTTTGTTCTACTGGTAAATATATCTCTTCATCTAGTTATAATATGACTTAAACACAGTTTTGAATTGTAAAACATATCAAAACAATTTTAGCAAACGTTAGTTGTTTATAAATATATGCTATTTAAAATTATATGCGTGTATATATGTACGTAGGTATATATGTGTGCCTTTATTGTGATAAGTAACAATAATATGAAGTCAAAATATAAAAAGAGAAGCCCAATATAAACTGCTTGACATAATATCAAAAACCTACTGGCATAACATAACATATCATATCATATCATAATATATATATATATGTATATAACGTCAGTTCGTTGATAAAGGTCAATTACACTTTTTACTAGATTGCTAAAAGACGCATAGATATATATATAATATATATATATATAATATATATATATATATAATATATATAAAATATATATATAGAATATATATATATATATATATACATATATATATATATATATATATATATATATATATATATATATATATATATATATATATATTTGCATGAACTATTGATGAAAATCACACCATGTTCCGCGTTAATCACAAAAGTCTATCACTCAGTCAAATATGCAACATCAATAATTGCATTTCTGACAGTCTTAATCATATATATATATATATATATATATATATATATATATATATATCTATATATATCTATATATATATATATATATATTAAATTCCCCCGATTTATTGGTGTTTATCAACTTGTATTCGAATTTTTCAATTTGTCTTAGTAATTTGAAGCTTTATTTTTATTAGCAAACATTTTATCAAAATATTTTGATAAAATGTTTGTTAATAAAAATAAAGCTTCAATTTTATATATATACAAAGCCAAAATTTCAATTCACCAACGCAAAGCTGAAAAAATTCTGTAAAAATGAATACTAAGATAAACAAGTATTTTGATGGCCTAGTGGTTAAGGCAGTCTATTGCTGCTTCGCAGTGTGTGCAGTGACTGGGTTCGAATATTTAAAAAATTTATTTGCTTATAAGTGCTTCCTGCGATGCGTTGTTTATATGTATTCACAGACTGTTTGTGCGTTGTTGACTCTTCTGAACCTAGTCTTGTCGCTGGTCTCTAACCATCCTCGACCCGAAAACACTTTAGCAAAATAAGTCCGGATCCCGGCCATACATATAGAATAGAATAGCACATCACACTAAATATTCCGTCCCAATCGAATTCACATTTAAGTAATGTTTACATTAACCCGGCTCTAATTTAAATTTGATAAAATTTGATAAAATTTAGATAATAATAAAATATAATAGCTATATACTTAGCTTATTAATTTTTATTTTAGGTTTTGAGACAAGCGTCTGATGTCTTGTTCATGATAGTGCTTGAGTAAGTGTGCCATGTCATTAAATTAAAATTAATAAAATAATAATTTTTTTTTTATTTTTATTTTTCATGTATTTTTATTTTTTAATTATAATATTAATAAAAAATTTAATATTTTATTCAATTACTGTTTCAGTTTTATCGACAGTTGTCAGTTATTTTTTCATTACATTTTAAAAATTAGTTTAGAATTTGATCAGTGCCTATGTAAAATTAGTAGTAATACTTATTAATTAATAGTAATGTAATGAGTAATCAAAATCAATTTGACGAATAAGTTTATTATTAATAATATTTTAAAGAAAATTGAAAACAAACTTACTTAATTCAGTTTAAACCTAAAGTTATGGATGACTATTTGAATTAGTAGTTGTGATGTCATCAAAGATAAAAATGCAAATAAAATAAATTATTTTTGAAATAAAAGTTTAAGAAACCTGATAAAGGATTTTATTTTATCTTTTTAGTTTTTACATTTTTCATTTTATAACAAAATATGTAAACAGAATAAAACCCAAAACTAAACCAAACAAGACCACGCTTGAACATTTATAAACGACATCTACTTATTGGATTTTATTCCACTAAGTCTAAGAAAATATCTAATTCATTTCTAACAGCACCAGAAAAATAAAAACTGTTAGAACAACGCTGACATGATCAAATAGTGTCTCATCATTCTTATAATCAAATGCTGACTTCATGTTAAAGAACACAAATAATAATGTATTCAATCAAATCATCTAAAAGCCGTCCTTTTAGAATACATCATTAAGAATAAGAATTTCATCAGGCTTAATTGATCAATTGACAATAAACATTTTTTTAAGACCTAGCTTTGATATTGTAGACATAACCATAATACATACAAATGTAAAGAAGAACACACAAAAAATGTTTCAACATACTCAAAAACTCATTGACTTAACGTGTATCGAAATGTTTGCAAAAAAGTCAAGTGACTTTGAACAGTCTCATTTTTAATACGAGGACTTTGGTCTCAAATAGTGTTTAATATAATTGAAAGCTTAAACTGAAGATTTCATGCATATTTACTATAATACAAATATTTGCTGTTTTACTTTTTATTTATAGTAATTAAGTTTAAGAGTGTGTAATTTTTATATTCTTTTTAAAAATTCATTTCATATAGTTTATCTATTAATATGATAACATGCAAATAAAAATAAGCAGTTAATGAATAAAGTTTCCAATAAAAAACATCATTTACAAATTTCATTAACAAGTGAGGAGCAATTGTGGAAGATTTTTCAAATATTATTTCATACATGTGAGTGCTGACTCTGGGCATTTCCAGATCCAGAGAAACTACACTCTATGCACTATTATTTTAAGTATTCATATTAGCAAACATTGGAGGAAACTTATTTTTTGTTCTTATATAAACTTTTGATGAGTGAATTGTGCTAAAAAAATCTTAAATCAACCGAGGCAGTTTTTAATGCTATGTAATGTTGAAGTATAAACATTAATTATTGATTTTTATTGTTAAATTATAAAATGCCTTAGACTTAGGTCACAGCCAAATTTGGAACGCTTGCTCATTTTTAAACTTGTCTCAGATAGTGGACACATTGTTTCTTATTTCGAACATGGAATCAGCACTACCAGGTGTGGTTAACGTTTTAATGTAAAATAGTTGACCAGTGCATTATTACACCCTAATCCTAATTTCTTATTCTTCAGATGTTACAAACATTGCTATAGTTTTTGATGTGTCTTTTTTAGTTTTGTTATTTTAAACTCAAATGCTTGTCTAATTTTTAAACATTTAAATTTAAGCCAGTATCAAATATGGAAACCAGTCATGCGCACAATTTTTATTATTCGAAAACCATTTCTTTAAAGTTCTCGTATACAATGCTCACCTCACCCTAATTTCTACCATCCATGTCACAAAATGTGAAATTTTCTGTTTTTTTTTTCAGTCAGAAACAATGACAATGCTTCTGCAACATTTTTTTAATTAGGTCTAATAAATATCCATCATTTAAAATTTGTTTATTACTTGTTTGCTTCGTTTAAGCATTTTTTTTAACTAAATTAAATTTACCACAATTTTTTATATAATATTTTTTTTCTTTGGCAAAATTCACTTTTTTTTGTTAAATGTAAAACCATGCAATTGATGGCTAACTGCCAATGTACATTTCCATTTTCTTTTCAATGTTTTTCAATTTCTTACAGATAAACTACAGCACAATTCTGTTTTTTTTTGTCGAATTTTCGATGCATTTGAAAAATATGGTTCTTTAGTTTTGGCATAACTCAACTTCATGTTGTTAGATTACCAGCACCGAAGATACAACCCCCTGTCAGATGAGTGGGTGCTTGTTTGCCCACACCGCATGAATAGGCCTTGGCAGGGTCACATTGAACAGCAAACACCTGACGCCAAATCCTCTCTCATTAGTCTTGATAACCCGTTAAAACCTGGCGGCAAAAGGCCAAACGGAATTGTAAGTGTTTGGAAATAATTATTAAGTTGTTATTAACTTTATTTCATTTTTTTTGTAGACAAATCCCATTTATGATGGAACATTTATTTTTGAAAATGATTTTCCCGCAATGAAACCAGTTGAACCTGAATGTTAATATATTTATTTTAATTTTATCTTGAAGTGATTTTTGGGGATTTCATTTATTTCTTATTTCGTTTTTTTTTAAGTTTTTACGTTCTGTGTCCCTCCTTTGCAAGTTTTTTGTCGTTTACACTATGTGCCAAACTACACGCACTGCAAATCTTTGAATTATAAAGGCGTTACACTTTTCAACTTTTTCTGTCTTCCTTTTTTGTTATTGATAATAGCGTCAACGTGCTACTGATTATACGCCGTGCGGTAGCGACTCAGAAAATCATTTGAAAAATTGCTGCCTTCATGACACAGTCTGATTTAGATTTGAATTTTTGTACTACAATGAATTTAATCACACTTCTTTAGCGACTTTATTTATTTTGTAACTAAACGTAACCAGGTGCAGATCTTCTATTTTAAATCAAAACAAATAATTTATTTCATCAAGCTTTGATTTTCGTCAATGTGTAATTTGCCAAGCATAACGCAAACGACGGAATTTTTCAATGTAAGCGTTTGGAACGCAGTCATTTCTAGCTGCTCATCTTGGTACTTGGTACATATAATTACACCTATGTTAAAACATTGTGCTTATGGAACGCAAATTTCCAAATCCGCTGATTTATAGACAGCTAAGTTTGACACATAACATTTATAATATGAGTTGGAAATCCGCTGAATTTGTTGCACTAGATACAATACATAGCGTACACAATACAAACTCCTAATACGTTTGCAAGGTTTGTAACCTTTTTAACTCGCACTTGAAGTAAATGAAAAATGGTTTTTGTGATCTGTTGCGACTCGGAACCTAGCAACTGTCAATGATTCACGCTCCGTGCAGAAACATAAATCTACACGTCGTACGATACAGGGATTTTCAAGTTTGATCTATCGGTGCCAGCATGAAACGTAGCATTAATCTTAAAAGATTACTTTACTATGAAAAACTTATGTAAAACACGATACATCTTAATAAAATAAGAGGGCAAAAAAAACTATGGAAGAATACGAACAAATAATTGATCAATCAAAATATACAATGGATTGGAAAAAAATCGTGCAAAAATGAAAAATCAGAACTTTAGAAAAATCTAATTAAGAGATGAATAATAAAGAAATAAAAATAGAGGTATAAAAATTTTTAAAAAGTTGCAAAAACCAATAAAAATTAACAAATGGACGATTTTATTTTTTTCATGTTATTGTTAGATCTCATTCTTAAGGGATGTGTATGTAATCATATATATTAATATGTTTTTGTTACATCTGTTCATCGGCCTGTCTTTCAATAATGCATGAAAACTGGAGAACCATAATAATGAGTGAGAGCCGAAAAATATATGAAAAGTTTTTATCAGAATTCATATTCTGTAGTTGTTGCTGTTATAACATTTGTCAATCATATTTGTTCTCATTGTTAATTTTTAAAATGTTCATGACTTAATAATTCATGCAGTTTTATTTGTTTAAAACATTTTTTTATTCAAAAGTGTTATGTAGAGAGAAAGTTCTCCAAGATGACGACTTATTCAAATGTGAAATCGCAGAGGGAAAGTGTTTCGTTATGTGCTTTCATCCTGATTCAACCGTCACCTTGGCTACTATGACGTGTTCAGAGATTGCTGCAGTTATCAAAAAACTCGCTGAACTTTGCCTGGAACTGCAACAAAAATATGAGTGGATTCAGGTTTACATCTACAGTTGTCACAGATACTCTTTTAATTTACTCAAACAAAATTGAACGCCTTTTGTTCTCTTACTATGTTTGCATATACAGCAGGATACATGCAGTGGAAGCCGGTTAATCGAACACATCGAATTTTGACCAATGGGGTTCAAAAGCGGCTGATCTTAATAATCGAATTGACGTTTTTCAATTATATAACGTTTATTTTTAATTTTTAAAAATATAATTTCTTAATTTAGTTTTTAATATTTTCCTCTAGATCTTACTGAAAAAACATTTTGATGCTATGCAACATTTTTACTCAGACGTAGACATTGCACGACCCAATGCTTTATAATAAAAACACTTCACATAATGCCGACAGCAATTTTCTGTTTTCTATGTCTCTCTCTCTCTCTCTCTCTCTCTCTCTATATATATATATATATATATATATATAAACATATATATATATAATTTATGTATATATATTAGTAGCACTTTAAGTTAGGTACAATTTTTTTGCCTTTTCTAGATCGTAGTTAATCCTGCATATATTTCTTTTACATTTTCCCACACCACACCACTGCTTTACGACAGCAAATCTTATCCATGTGGTTAGATCAACCATATTCTGCAACGGTTTGTAATAATTTCAAAATAGGTTTTTGAAAATAAAGGAGCAATTATGGGTTGTTCAAATCCACACCCTCACTGTCAGGTGAACTAATGTTGTTTCTTTGTTTCTGCTTCTTTTTTGTGTTAATTTAATTACTTTTTATAATTTTTATGATTATATTGGATTTATTTATAATTATATCAGTTTTTTAATGATTATGTTTTTAAAGATGAAAATATTAAAGATTTTGTAATTTTATTTTTCCAAGATATGGGCAAGTTCTTTTCTGCCAACTGAACCGAGCAAAAAAGATGAAATGCAGAAAGAGTATTTTAAGAAGCACAAGCGAATTCTGCTGATGGATTACACAAAGAGGGAATTAAACTATCAGGTAAAACTTAAATTTATATTGAAAATATGTAAATTTGTTGTAAAACATTAAAAATGCTTCTCACGAAGGTTAGAGTTGTCGTTGAGTCTGAAAAGTGGGCTTGTTTGGTACCATTTTGGGCAGTGTGGCCATTCGAAACTTATTTGATACCGAAAAGGCACTGCTTGAGATTACAGAATTTGGATGATGAGGAAATTGAAGGTTAAACTATTTTTGTTTCTCTTTATTTATTTAATAGCAGTTCTGTTACTTTATTTAATTACTTGCAGATTTGGCGTCGATGTTGAAAAAGTTGCTTTGCAAGTATGACAATCTTTTTCAAACATCTTTTCCCTACAGCATGGGATGGCATGGCAAGTTTGAGTTTACCTAAATTATAGCTAAACGTCTCCGTATAAAGTTGTATTTTATAAAAAGTAACCAGGAAACATTTATTTTCATCAATTTCCAGGTGCACCATCTGGAAAATACCTGAATAAAAAAAATGACGACGGTGAAGATGCATGTTTTTACTGGCAATTGCACGCTACCTTCCTACCTCCATTGCTCAGGTTCTTTCATGCCTGCCGTTTCATCAATTGTGTCTCATTTGCCAAGGAAAACAAACTTGAATGAACAGTTGTTCATTTTCTTCTTTGTTGTAAATTCGTGTTATTTGTGAAATTTCATTTAGTTCTTTCAAGTTAAATAAGATACATTTATCAAGTTTTGTTTAAGGCTTGTAGGGTTTGTCAGTTTTCTTGAATTGTTTAAATTCTTTATCCATTAAATTGATAAAAAATTGGCCGTTATTTATTATTTGAAATTTTTATTTATACTACTTTGTTTCACTATAGCAACCATATGTTTTCAGATCATCAACAGTGAAAAAATTCATGGTCGGTTATGAGATGTTGGCTGAAGCACAAAGAGATCTCACACCGGAGAAGGTTAATTTTTGTTGTCGCTTTTGAAGAGTGCATTTTTTATCATCTGATAACACTGAAATGCTATTATGACACTTAATGACTGTACACTAATGTGTTTGTAGCTGATTAGTGATGTGTTAATATGATAATTTGTGTCTGCACATGACACTGTCACATTTCTTAAATAATGTTAGTTGTGTTTATGTTATACTCCTTACCCAGGCTGCTGACATTCTGCGAAACCTGTCAACAATTCATTATAAAGATCAGTAAATGAACATTTTCTTGATTTGAACTTTGTTTTAAAAAGTTATCATTGTTTCTTCAAAAAATAAATTACAAATTTAGCGTATTTAAATATTACCTTACATTCATTAAAATTCAACTTTGATTTGATTAGTTAGAACAAGATTCATCATGATCAATTTATTGATTAGAATAAATGTGCAATACCGTGTAACGTTGTCATGTCATTTTGTCATGAGATATCCATAACCAGTTAAGTGCGCAGTACGAATAGGGTCATCGGGTTTAACGTTTTGTGATTTGTAATAGATACATAATAAAATTTATGATCATTGGATGATCTTCACTTTTTTGAGTGCTTGTCAAAGGATCACCGATGTAACATTGCAAACCACTTTCGTCTGTGGCACGCTTGGACATATATATTTATAACGATGGACTCCAAATTCTGAATTAAATTTCTGCATATTAAGAATTATAAATATAAATTGATAAAAATAAATTAATAGACCTAATAGAGTTTACAAGATTAAAATGAAAGTTTATATTGTAGGTACGATTAATTAGGTAATGTACTGAATTACACGTATAATCAATAAAATTATTTAACTAAAAAATTAATTTCAATTTGCAAAATAGTAAATCAAATGAACTTAAAATTAGTTTGCTAGTTTAAACTGGGCTCATGTAGATCAATAAATATGAATATTATAAAGTTTAAATATCCGTTGGAACTCCAGTATATATCAAAGTTACTATCCATTTTCGATGGGATGTTCATTAGGAAACGTTCGGTGAATATTGGTGTATTTTAATTTATAACGAATGTTTAAATCTCAGGCAATTTGAAATGTGAACAGTTAAAAATTGAAATTAGTTATTGAAAAACTGAAGAACATAAGTTTTTCTATCGACCTCGATGATATTTTGTGTATGAAAATTTTATTAAATTGTATATTTGTATTGTAGAATAAGGCTACCTTGTGTGAATATATGTTTACAAATGTTTTTCGATAGGGAACGAAAAAGTAATAAAGAAAATATAAGAATATTAAATCGTTTTAAAACACTCTAAAAGTCTAAATCGTCTAAAATGATATGAATATTCTTAACAGTTATCACTGAACATAACAAAAGGTTTGCATAAAATGTATAAACATATCAAAATTGTCAAATAAATAAAAGGTCAGAAAAGTAATGCTTATTAATCAGATTTTTCTCAAACGTTCAATTTTTTCTTCTTATTAACAGCCACATTTTTTTTGAAAAGTCGTTTATTTTATCAACCACGTTTTCTTTGACCCATCGACTACCTGTTTTGAAGAGATGTGCGGGACATCCTTTCATCGAGTTCAGAAAGTAAACAGGTCCAGCTCTGCGTAAAATAATTTATTGTAAGCTAATTGATTTTTTTTAATTTGTTTCACAAGATTTCTAAATTTATATTTGTTTCACACCGATTTATAATTTCACTATCGACGTTTGACTAACTTGGTTTTAGCAACGTCCTTAAATGTGTTAAAATTTTGGTAAATCAATTTAAAGGAGCACAGTCCAGCTTTGATATCGCAGGTTTTATGATAGTTTTTCATCAGTGATTTTATTTCAGAGCACGGTGTATCCAGAAAATCAATTTTAGACATCAACTCCATCACACATACACGACTGCTGTTCACCCATCTGGTGGCCTAAATTTGTAAAAAAATCATTGTTATAATTTATTTAATTTTTTTTGTCTGTCAAAAATAAAAAAATAAATCAAGAATAATGAATGTTTACATCGGCAGTAAGTGAATCTCCATGATGGTCAAATCTTTCGCAGTATTCATAGCCAAAATCATGATCGTGACCACAAGGTGCTGCTTCATTCAGGCATTTGTAGTAGTTGCAGGAGCCTGACTTCATTAAATACTGGCATTCAGACTCTAAAAATCTGCTCGACAGGACTTCAAATTAGTAAATTTTATTTAATGTTAAGGGAAAAATGGAACCTTATGATGATCATGATATAACAAAAATTTATGAATAAATTATCTTCGTTCAGCTTTAACGACAAAAAATATTAAAACTTAAATTTATTCAAAAATTGATGCAAATGTATTAACCTGTTTTTCCAAACGTGAAAATAATAACTAAGCCCAGAAATAACGTCATTTTAACGCCAAAAATAAATTTAAACTAGCAAACAAAAGAATGAAACTGCAGATGAACTTTGCCCTTCTTTACATCGGGTTGTTTGTGTTTACGTGCATCTCATACAGCAATGCATGCCTTACTCCAACATCTCAACTAAATTTTTTTGTGAAAAAATCAATGCGTAGAATATAATTTGGCAAAGAAATGATGATTAAAAACAGGAGTAAGCGACTTTTAACAACTAAAATTATCAAAATAGTTGAGAATAGTTTAAATTTATAAATAAATATGACACAGTTAAAATTTATATCTTTAGTTGAAAATATTTAAATGAAATTTTATTCATATTCTTTTTGAATTTTGAATCACATGATACAGTTATTTAAAATTTAAATTTGCAATCAAGATTAGTCAGTGCATGTGCATGGTTGCTTATTTGTTTGTATTTATCGTGTATTACGGTTGTAGTTGTATCCGAATATTGCAGCCTACGTTTTCTAAAACATAGCTTAAAAGATTATTGTTTCTCATGTCATGTTCATGTTTTTTGTTTATTTACAAATATTGTGAGATCATGATTTCAAAAGAACAGTCCTGAAATAACTCAAATCGAGACTGATAAAATTTGCCCATCGTATTGTTTGAGAGATCACCACCAGCCAATATTATTAATACTTTCGCGCCCATAGCAACAACACAGGTGTTTTAAGAAACATTATTTAACAATTGTAAATTGATGTAATTACGAGATGGTTGTCAACATTACATTATGTATTCTAAATGATTGGTTATTTATATATTTATTTTAAAACACTAAATATTGCAATTTAAAAAATGTTGGAAGCAGTCGACAAAAAGTTTATATACCCTGTTTTACCAAATGGTGACGCTCAAAGAATTATTAACGTTTTAAATGGATTAATTTTTAAAATCGAAGTTATAACAAGTTTTCCTGACTTGATTGCTCATATTGAAGAATTTAAAGATTCTTTAGATGAAAACCTTTACCATTTGTTAAAAAAACATAAAGTTTTAATAAGTTACCTTGAACCTAATGAATTAGTCAAGACGATGTATTTGGAAAGCGCGAAAAGTTTGCAAAAAATTTGTTCGGGCGAAATTGTGAACGAAAAGGAGAAGATATCAGTTCATTGTAAAAAACAAAGAACCTGTCAAGATGATGAAAATTTGACAAAAATATCAAGAGGAAACATAACGGAAGCTCACGAAAATGAGAGAGGTCCCATTGTAAAGAGCATCAACGAATCAGTCAGAAGCATAACGAAAACTTTGATGACAAATCTTCAAACAGCTTACTTTTTGTCAAACAACAGATCGTTCAAAAAATCCAAAGAAGCAATTCAATTGATCACAATTCTTGAAAAAATAAAACATTTAGAAATGAAACGATTAAATCAGATAAGTGAAGATAATTTGAATGTTGAAAGTTTGTCAAACGCTAAGAATGTTTATAATAATGAAATGATACAAAATTTGAATTATCATCTAATGAAAGAAGAGAAGGAATATGAGCAGTTGGTAATGATTTTTTTTATTCAACAAAAAAAACAGCATATTATTTATGTTGCAAATAAAACTACATTTGTGTTTTTCACATCAACATGAATAAAAATATACTTAATAAATTTTAAAATATACTTGATCAATTTTAATCTTTAAGCAGACCCACAAATTGATTTGTTTATTATAATGAGAAGTGAAACGTGCTTAGGCATGTTACTACTCAAAATAGATCATTTCAATTTTTTGCAAAAGTGAAGTTTAAAAAAAGAATATTTTTATCTATACATATTTAACAACAGTATTTCTTTATCACAAATTGGCAATACTATGATATTGCAGATAAATTGTGATGATCATGTATTATCGTTTATTGCAGTTAAATTGTGACGATGGAAAATTGATCATTCTGAAAGAAAAATTGGATCGGAGCAAAAACCAGGTGCAAGAAAAAAAACTAAAAATGCAGAATGACGGCAAAATTCAAGAGAAGCTTTCAGAGAAAAACAGTAGTTTAGAAACGAACGTGTTAGTGGAATTAATTGACAAAACCAAACTTCAGCACGATTCTTTATTGAAAACAAACTGGGAGAAAGAATCCGTTTTACGAAAAGTTTTACTTAAGTTTTATTCTTTCCAAACTTTTGTTTTAATGAAGTATTTCATTTATTTTGTTATTTATTAATACAAAAACCCATAAGCAATTCATACATATTCATTGAATTGCTATATAAATTTTTAAAATTTTACCTTTTTTACTAGAAAAAATTTCAAATAGAATCGGAAATTGAGAACTGTATAAAAACTTATGACCTGGAAATGCGGCGTCTTGAGGTTAAATATTTCATATAATTTATTTTATTCAAGTTCAAAATAAATTAATTGATTATTTTATTTTATATTTACAGATAGAAACGAATGAAATTCATTCTAAATACCATGATGAAAAAAAATTGCTGGCCGTATTAGAACAAAAATTTTCCACGTTGAAAATAGAATATGACGCGATCATGGAAGAAAGAAGGATAGCTCAAGAGTTGAGGGATGCAAGCGAAAAAGAGCTGCTGAAAACTATAAGAGCAGCCTACATAATTCAGTCTCTATGGAGAGCTTACAAAGTAATGAATGTATTTTTACAGTACATAAGTATCTCTATTGTCATTATCACCACTGTGTTACAGTAACAAATCAAACAAAATATTTTTTCAAAATATGCACGTTAAGAAAAATGCGGAAAAAATTATCTATATGTGCAGAAAATCAGCTGCTTTTTTAATTACTCAGCTTAATACAGGCAAGCTCAAATAAATTAAATTTGTCTCCCTTTCCCAAAAATTGCACAAGTCGGAGCATTTTTTGATACATTTGATTACCAGTTTAACATATTACAATAGAATGATTGACAGTTAATTGAGAACGTTGACTGTACACGTGTTTTATTCAAGCACATTTGCTCCTGCTTATGCATTTTATAGGTTTGTTTTAAGAGGTTAATAAAACTATTTTATTTATTAACCAAAGGTGAGAAAGAATGTAAAGTCCAAGAAGAAGAAAGGAGTAAGAGGCGGCTATCCGAATTCAAGAAAAGTTACAAAAAACAAATAACTCTCTGATTCTTTTTTAACAAATAAAATAAATTAGTTTCTAGTTTGTATATTGGGCGTCGGAACAAATTCATACAAAAACTTAGTCGAAGCAAATGTATTTATTGATAATTTTGCAAAACAAATTCTTTATGTGCGATTCGACTGTTTACTTTAAATAACACGAGTGATTCATGAGGTTTTAATATATATTTTATACGGAGAGCTGTGTGGCTGACTTAAGATTTTTGCAACACGGCTCTTCGCCTGCGTCTCCGTTAGCTTACCTACTGTTCTAAATTTAAAATAAACCAGAAACTTTGTTATCATTTTCCAAATTACAAGGCAATTAATTTATAGATCTCAAAAACAGTATTTGTTTCAATGACGACGGACCTTAATAAAGCTAGAGCTAGTTGCCGTTAAACATTAAAGACATTTATTTCTAAAATAATTGTACGGCTTTTTGCTAGAGATATTCAAACTTTTTTAAAAATTAGTTAGATTTATCAGAGTATTTTTAGAGATTATTTCCGACACCTTTAAAAACCTTTGATGCAATCAATTATATAAATGCATTATCTTTTAACTTGATACCTTGGCTATAAAAACTTGTTAAGTTGATTTTAATTATCTAAGATTCTGCGTTGAATTTATTTCACTCACCTTTCTGAAGAAGCTTAAATTCTTTGCGTCGGTTCGAGATCAGCGTCATTAATATTAAACTGCAATATTTCTCGATTTTTGGTTTTTAAAGCTTTATATTTTTCAAATGTGGTAAGTCCTATAAAGTTATTCCTGTTTCCTATTGTTATTTGTAGGTTAACAATAAACACCTGTACCTATAGCTACCCCTTCAAACAAATGAAATGAACCCTCAGCTACATACAATATTATTTTTAATGTTTGCATCCATCTTAATCAAATATCCTCAATGGCTTGCTAATGATGACAATTTTTATATTGAATCTCAATTTCTTTACCTTTTTTATTCTATCAGCTTTATGAAAATACTATTATATATTCCTACGATCGTTACACACTTAAGCAGCGCCATAAATACGATGTAAAAAATGAATTACTCTTAACATGACATTCGTAACTCTATTTTATTCTAGATATAAGGTTAAAATAAACTGTAGTCTGTAACGCGTACGATAAATAGAAGTCCAAATTAGGAAAAACCGTGAATCTCCAAATGTTCTTGTTTTGTAGCAACCAAGTTTTTGGTCCAATTAAGTGGTTTTATTAGTCCGATTAATCGAATTAGATTAGATTTGCTTAACAGGATTTTGTACCCGTTAGTGAATATTTAGTCCTAATAAGCAGTTGACTTGATTAACTGGCTTTTACCTTATAAGGTAAAGTTTGAATTCTTAACTCTTTACCTCAAATAAATTAAATCGGTATCTAACAGACCGAAAACTAAATTTTTTTATCAGACTTGAACATCACTACTGCGCATATAACTGTTTACATGTATATATTCCGATGAATGGATATGTAGATTATATTTGTTCTTTACGTTTTTCCCTTATTGTGTTATTAATTTTTTTTTGTCGTCTGGAGTGGAGTCAGGTGTAGCAGGTTATTTTCTCTGTCATGATCGGAAAGATGATTTTTAAACTAATTCTATTGTATATAATTTGGTAATATTGCCTATCTCTACTCTTTACTTACTGTTACCCTCTACTTAGTCTAATCTAAGTCTAATAATCTAATCATTTATTTTATTCTATTGTTGTCCTCTATATATTCTATCCTTTTGGTTTCTTTAGTAAGTTTAGTTTATATTATAATATATAATTTAACTTTCACCAATTTTTAATTTCATTTGTATTTTTAGTAATCATATTCATGATCATTTTCTTTTTGTAATTTTGTTTTTAATTCTTTACCTTATTTTAGACTTCTAAAAACTAAAAAAGAGTTTAGTTTTAGACTTTAGTTTTTTTTTTAGATTTTATAAAATAATCTATAATAAATAAATAAATAAATAATAACATAATTATAAATTATTAAAAATTAAAATAATAATTTGATTTGTTTATTTATTAATTTTTTCATTAAAATTGTTTAATTATTATTTATAACATTAGATTAAGCCCATTAACTGTTAATTAAATCTTAATTGTTGTTAATCAGTTAATGTTAATCATTAACATTAACTGATTAACAATTAAGATTTAAATTTTTAAATTAACCAATTAACAACTATTATTCTTATTGTAATATAACAAGAATAACTAATTGATATAACTGTTATATTGTTAAGTTAAGACTTAAGTTAATCATCAATTAGAGTATTAGATTGGACATTAGATTAGCATTGGTCAAACCAATGGTTCATTAATAAATTAGTACCAACTCTTCTACCACACTTTTTTATTGATCATTTTAATTGAAAAAAAACTAAACTACTATATATTATTTATTATAAATAAATAATATACTATTTATTCTTAAATATATACAATTTGTATTAAATATTAAATTTCATTGCTATAGTATTATTTATTAATTTTAATTTCTCTATCTTACTGATAACGATTTTTTTTTTTGACTGTACATTTAGTTTGTATGTTCAATAAGTTTGTAATGATGTGGTAATAATTTTTTCATCAGTGCCAATCTTAAATGAATGATGGATCCAGTGTCTACTTCTAATTCAATGAAGACCAGCAAAACCAACCCTTCCGTTCACGTCATATTTAGAAAAATTGAAGAATGCTACCCTGTGCATTCTGATATATTTATTAATTACAGCATCTCGGGTGCACACGAAATTACTAAGAATGATTGGATTGGTCTCTACAGAGTAGGATGGAGATCCCATAAGGAATATATATACTATGACTGGTCTCCATACCCATCCAACTACGTTAAAGATATGAGCGTAGAAAATTCAGTTATTTTCCCTGGTTAGTAGATTATACTTGTTATGTTAAATTTCATTCCTTGTTATTTTATGATTTATGTTCAAACGAGACTCAAACTGAATATTCTGGAAAGAAAAGTAGACTATAATGACTGAAATGTTAAGGAGGGGATGAGAGTTTATAACCTGATGACCTGACAGTGGAGTGAGTGTGAGGTATGAAGCCTGGAGTGATATCCTTAAGTTGTGATTGTAAAGGGTCAAAAATGTTGTCACCTGGTTTTATTCTGGATATAATACATAAAGCTGTGTTTGGTTTCAAAGTGGAAGTGGAACATGTTTATACATGAACTTAAAATTATAAATATATAATTAATATTTATATTTACATATATATTAATATTAATATAATGTAAATATAAATTTACTGCAATAGTGATTTACTGCTATATTTTCCATGATTCTGTTCTAAGCAACTTGGTCAAATAAATTCAGGAAACAAGATGCCAGGTGAGGATGAAGAGTTCTACCAGTTCTGTTATGTGACGTCAAGTGGGCAAGTGAAAGGTGCCAGTACACCTTTTCAGTTTAAATCTGCTTTCACTGATGATTTGATTGAGGTGGAAGATGAAAATGATGATGTGATGATTGTCAAGACGAGGACGTCAGTTTTGGAGGAACGTTTAGAGAAGGCCAACAATGATCAACTCCTTACAAAACAGGTCCAATTCATTTTAAAAGTTTTTATAATATTTATAGTTGTACAAAACTAGCAAGTTGTCCATCAATGTTCTTTTTAAAACAGTACTGCTGTAACTGGATGACACAAGCACTTCTCTCTTAGTTTTTTAAAATAAGCTTTTTTTATTCTTCTTGTCCATTTGCTTTGTATTCAAGTAATATAGCAAACTTCTGATCAAGCAAAAAGTGATTTGTTGAATTTTTATTGTCACTTTGAAAGCAGCAGTCATTAGTTTCAAATTTGAAATTGTAAAATGTGATATGGTTCGATGAAAAATGCAAACAGAAGTTGCACTTGCTTGAGAAGGAGCTTGATCACATGTACTTGCTCGATCGTGATGCACAGAAGAAATTGCAAGAATTTGAAAAAGCTGAGAAGGAGTTGACTTCTGCTCTTGAGGTTTGATGGCTATGATTATCATTTAATTAAAATATGGTAATTTCTGCTGACTGATGTTTAAATGATTGTATGATTGGTGATTTTGACTGGTTAGCCATGACATAATCATGAAGGTTGTTGTTTACTGTTTAATCACACACTGGTGATTGTTTAATTTGAACTTTTATTTTATCCATTTACTTCTTTTGTTTTAAATGATTTGGTTTGTGATTATTTCCTCAATCATTGTTTGCCTGACCTCTTCATCAGCTTGATACAATTTTAACTTATTTATAAATTCTCTACAAATTAAATGATATAAAGTTTGTAATAATTTAACAAAAGATATTTAAAAACCTAGGAAAGGAATGAGGGCTTGGCAGAACAAAAACAACAAAATGCCCATCTTACTGACTGCATCGGGGCTCTCAAAGAGAAATTGGAAGTACTCAAACAGGTCACTCATTTATCATTCTTATTTTTTTATTAATGACGACATCAGTATAATTGTAATCACCATATCATCATCAGTATCATTGTAATGTTAAAATATCTATTTAAGGAGAAACTTTCAATTGAGAAAAGACTGGATGAGAGTGACACCTATATTGCGAGTTTACAGGACAAAATAAAAAATTTGGTGATTGAGAAAGATTGTCTGAATGGCAAGATCAAGAATTTGGAGGAGGACAATGCAGTTCTGAAAGTGAAGACGATTCTTCTATCTAATATACACCTTGTATCGATGTTATTCATTTGTTGTGGTTATTGTGATCATTCGTAATAATGATGATTTGATGATAGTGTTGTTATGATGATGACATGGACCTACAGGAATTTCTGAAGGATTTCGACCATGTGAGAAGTACCCTGGTTGAAGAAGAAACAAACAATTTGAAATTGAAAGGTGACCTTGAGGTGGCGGGAACTGAGATTTTAAAATTGAAACAACTTTTGGAGCAGCAGGCAATTGTCAATAAAGAGGAAAAGGTAGAAACTTTGTTTACATTTAATTTGATAATTGCAATACATAAGGTTTTAATTTTCTGGTTTTGCTGTTTTTTATGCAATCAATTAAGGTTGTTTAAATTATATAAGAGTGCCTTGCTACAAAGATGTTTCATTGAATTCAACAAATTTTCATTGAAATGATCAATTGAGCAATTTCACAAACACAGCAGCACATACGCATTCCAGCACAATATTGCATTTCCACAACACCAGTGCATAACATCTTATACACGCTACAACATACACCACACTACATACACACACCACCCAACACGACATGCAACATTGCATACACACTCCAGCTCACCACATCCCATGGCACATACGCACTCACATCACATGCACATTCCAACCAACATCTTGACGTGCACATGCACATACATGCTCATCAACACATCTTCATGTGCAGCTAACACAGGCCTTGTTAGCTGATCGTCTGCAGAACATGGAGAATAAGCTGGATGCAGCAGACAACTGCAAAAAAATGTTGAATGAGGAAGTACTTCTTCTAAGGCAGATGCAAGAAAAAGCTGTTGAGGCTTATGACGTTCGTCTCTTTCTTTATTTCTATGTTGTGAACATCGCTATTTTGAAATAAGTTTTTCACTGAAAACCAATCACATCTTTTGTAGGTAGTGAAGGCAGAGAATGAAGGAATAAAAATCAAATTGAATGAATTAGGGAAAGATAAAGAGAAATGGTCTGAAGATTTGGAGATTGTAATGAAAGAGAAAGAAAGTCTAAAGAAACACGTTGCCGACCAAAATGAAGTAGTGGCCAATTTCTGATTAAATATTCTGTTTTGTTTTCTGGAATACCTGTTTATTTGTTCCAGGGGTGATGATTATTTGTTGGGTATAAAATTTTTTATGAACCTGTGGTTTTTAATGTGTTTAACCTATATCTAGTATCGTGATTTTCCAACCTAGGAAATAGACAGGCTGACCCAACAAGTTAGTTCCATGAAAGATGGAATTGACCAACAAGCAAAAGCAGAGAATTGTGGTGCAAATGACGATATTGCATTGTTTGCACTGAATTTGGCACACAAATCCCTTAAAGAACGTTACTCTGAGTTATCAAAGAAGTTTGAAGAATGCAAACAAACGATGAATGTGCTGAAGATTGAAAATGTTGGTGTTGATTTTATTTTAGTTGTTAATAATGAGTTGCATAATAATGGGTATAAATTTCATTGCAGTTTTCAGTGCATCGGCTTGTTTCATTGTGTGTTCCAGTGCTTGCAATTATTCTGGTGAACACTGAGCTGAGCTGTTGTGTGTTTCTTTAACAAAAACGAAACATCTGTTATAGCCTAAGAGATAACATAATTGAAAATAACTATTCTATGCAAGAGTGTGTAACAGCGGTATAGATTAATTGCTTCTAAGGATTAGACATCTCATAGCTGGCTCTCCTCATCCTTGTTGGAGAATGCATAATTAGTCTTGTGCGTCATTCATTGTCTGAGTTGGGATCATTTATTTTTGAGTATGGCGTGATTTGTTTTTTTGTAGAAAGTTTTTTTGAACTGATCATTGCGTTATAAATTTTTTTAAACAATTCATTTGACTTATCTAAAAAAAGAAACAATTTAAATTTTAAAGCTGTGATGATTAAACACAATTTTAAACTTTCAAACATGCTTGCCATTTGTACCAATCAGAATACTTACGTCATCCAAGCGTCAACCATTGTTTAAAAACTTTATGTTCTCGACTTAACTAGATTTTTCAGTTGGCTTGCCTGCAACATTTTTCAATTCTTTCACATAAAACAGCAATCTGTGCAGAACAAATCCACCCCTTTACATCTTGGCCCCTTAACGCTATTCAGAGCAGCACTGCATTGGCTTTATTTTTTTCTTTCTTCACTGTACGAGATTTCTACATCTCCTATTCAACTTTGGAGTTAGCACTTAACAAATGCCCCTACAGTATTTTTAGAAATATCGGTTTTATTATATACTTTTTTGTTAAGGCATAAATTCAGTGTTTGTTTTTTAATAGGTAAGCACAGCAATGTCATTTTTTCTACTATAAAAGCAATGAAATCTGACTTATAATTAGTTCAAGCATGGCTTATAAACATATAGAAAAAAATCTGACAGGTGGTGTCATGTCAGGTGTCAGATTTTAAGATGATAAACTCTGTTGAAATCACTCTTGTGATTTTTTGCCAATCCTTGATTTTTATTTCATGGATTATTATTATTATAGTTATTGCAATTACCTATAAGATGTTTGTTTGACAGGAGGCCCTCAAAACCTCACAATCCTTCAACGATAAAGAAATATCAAGTTTGAGGGAGAGGCTGATGCTGTGTCGAGATACGTACAAAGAGAAGTACGTCGAGTGTGAACTGCTGGAAAAGAAACTCTCATCCTTAAATGGACCATGTACGTTTATGTTGCTGCTTTTTTTTGTTTATTTGTCAGTCATTCAACAATCCACATTTTTTCGGCAGAATTTGCGTTTATTCAACTGTTTGTTTATTTCATGCTTATGTCATGTCAATACAATATTTAAATGATACATTTTCTGTCATTGTCTTAACTTCATAGTTATCTTTACTATATATATTAAATCATTAAGAAACTGAATTGTTAACAATAAATTAAAGCTGCCATGAACATTTTACAATTTATTAAACTGCTTTGTTTCCTGCAGTGAAACAACATAGATATTTATCGGAAGAGCTTGTGAACAAACCATATTTTGAAGAATTTGAAAGTTAGTTTTGTTTGAATTTTATTTACGTGGATGATTTTGTCAAGGTAAAGTTTAAATGTTATGTCACGTGAATGCATTGTGGAAGCCTAATTTTAATTTTGACAGACTTGGACGAGTCCGTGAATGACATGAAATGTGAATTGCTAGCAAGCAAACTGAAAAAGTACAAGGGACTATTCTGGAATGAGCACAAGAAATTCAAAATGTTACAAGTTCTTTTGAAAGAAAAGGAAGAAGAATGCGCTAAACTGAAAGATAATGCTGAGGTTATTTTTTATTTCAATTTTTTGTTCAAAAGGTTTTAAATATCTGTGTTTTTCTTGAGTTTTGCATTACAAACTTCGCTATTTTTTTTACTGCAACATTTCTGTTTTGATCCATTTAACAAATAACTTCGGATAAAAATTTCATCATCTTAAATGTTTGAGTTATATTTTTTGACTATTCATAATAAAGTTTGTTAAGTCACCATTTAAAAATATTTTAGACAATGAAATATGAAAGCCAAGATATATATTGTATTTTGAATTACGGTAATGTATTGCACATGTGCGTAGATATTTGTGCACAGTGTCAGTGCATACACGAGTTCTTATGCATGTATATACGCATTTATGTGTGTGCAGTGCCTAAATGTATTTTTGTGTATATGTATATGTTAGTTTGCGTGTATTTGTACAAGTGTGTATATTTGTAGCAGGTTGCAGTTAAAGTTCAAGGGGATATGCAGCTGGTTGAAAAATCTCAACACAATAGCAACCAATCATATTCCTTCAAAGGTACGTTTAACAATTTTCGTTTTTTTAGTGTAAATTGAATCGTACAGATCAAAATCAATTGATCTTAATTTAATGTTAGATTTATTAATTTCTCATCTTAACTATTACTAATTAAATTTGTTTGAATAGTTTGAAGTATATCCAATTTTCTCGTCTTTGAAAGTTTATTAGTTAACCGGCGATACCTTTTGGTGAAATTATTAATTTGCTCGACAAATATTTGTTCTTTTTTTATATTTTTATCACAATTAAGGACTATTTATGTGCAAAAAAACAAAGTTAAATAAACGACGGCACATCGTAGAGAAAAATCAAAGTATTCCACTAAAGATCAAGCTAAAAATAACAATAAGTTTCATTCTCTTTTTAATCATGCGAAGTTCGTTTCTATTGAGATAATTGAGAATTTGCAAATGGCATCTGGGGATAATTTGCTATCGGGAACTGAAAATGGATGACTTCAAAAAAAATTTAAATATTTGTTTGTTTTTTTTTATCAATTTAAGAAATTCAGCATTTCAAGAAAAAATGAATTTTTTTCATTTTCATATTAACTCACATTGGGTTCAAACTGATCTTTCTTCACTGGCATTTTCTCAATTATTTTATTATATAATGACTTAATTGTCCAAATAATTATTAACTAGATGTTTTTTCGTTTTCCAGCAAACAACTGTGACATGACAATAATCGAGTAAGATTATTTAATTTTTTCATGAATAAATGATTAGTAAAATAATATGTATTAGGGCTGTGCCGGTTTTTACTTTCAAATTCGGCCATGAGTCTGATTCGATTGGATTCCTAAACACAAATTCGGCATTCACTAGTGCATTTTATGACTTGTGATTATGGCGTTATTAGCTTGCCTACACTAGTCTTAAACCCAGTATAAAATCTTGTTATATTACATTCACATCAATCATCATCATTGGGCAGGTATTTTAAGTACAACCATTCTTTTCCACAGTTTTCTATTTTTTGCAAATTTGGTCAAATCATTAACTTGTGAAGTGTAGAAAGCAAAAAAAGATTAAAACAAATAATCGAGCAAAAATGGTTGGCGTTGGCGACATGGTGCGTGTGGGTTGTGCAAAAGCCATAAAATGCTTTAAATGGTTTGTGTGATGTTATGAAGTTTACAGGCTAACAGAATATTTGCATGTACTACGTTTTATGGGGTATATATATGTACAGTCTCTATAGCACATAAACTATTGTGCTTAACTAAGTAATATGGTGTGTATGTTTTGTATTGTATTATATGCCGAATTTGTATAGCGCTTGTAAGTTGAATTCAGAAATGCATCCTTCATTTTCTTCGATGTTAGAGGCCTGGGTCGGGGTTAGATGATTTTCAGATTTTTCTTGTTAAATTTTTTAGATAGAAGGGAGCTGAAAATCTCTTCTCAAAATATGATTTGAATTTTGAAATTATCTGGTCACCGCGTTGTTGATGGCAGTTGACCGCTCTATTCAGTTGCAGGAGCTGGTTATACCTGTTTTTCTATGTAGATTCGTGCATCTCCAGCTAAACAATCTCTTGCGAGAAGAGCTAGTTTTTGTGTTACTCTTTGTGGCACACAGAGCTATTGTAGCTCATTCTTGATGTATTAATTTAATAGATCAAACTTCGAGGCGCAAACAACCGGTCTGAAAGCAGCATAAGTTTTCTGGAGTGTGTTTTGTATTATATTAGATTGAACACCATTTTGCGGAAAGTCGATCTCGTGTCACGTTGCAGAAATTAGTCTTATTGCAACCGATGCTTTGGAAAAGAGCTTTTGCTGACTCAACTGTCAGATATCGTTTTATTGCTCTTAGTGTGTTTAGTTGTTAAAAGCATCGTCTACAAAGTTGACCGACCTGGGATTCCATTTGGATCCAACACAGCACCAAGATTGGTAACTTGGCTTTTTATGTTATCTACCCGACTACCAGACAGAATTTATAAGGAGTCACCCACGTGTGTTGTTTTAATATGTTTAATTTTAGTTTGTTTTTGCCATCCAGTGGTCCACTGCATTTACTTGTATCTGCGACGACATCTGAATGTACAAAATCTGTACTTCAGTTTGAATGGATGAATAAATAAATAAATATAATAATGGTGATTTTGATTGCTAAATATATTAGTATTTGTAAATTTTTAACGTGTGTTATAAAATGTTTTTTTCAGTATGGACGTCATTCCAAACAGTGCAGGTTGTGTAATGGATAAGGTAGCTACCGACGCAGCTAGTGTAGTGGATGAGGAAGCTACTAGCGTAGGTAGTGTAGAGGATGAAGTCGTTACACTGCGCTGTCCAATCTGCGATAAGTTGTTCGACAGTTCCAACAAGGATTATTTGGTTGATCACGTGGATACTCATCTGTCCGGTGGCTACGACTGTCCCCTTTGTCAGGAGCATTTTGATGAGCACATTGGCAGGGATCGTTACATGGAACACGTGAAAGCGCACTTTGAATGAATTTTGTTTACATGTTGATTACCTTCGTTCGTACTGTTTTAATATCTCTTCTAATTTATGCTATATTTCAATGTTTAATTAATGCATTTTATGACCCATCGGATCAACTTGAAATAAAATAGGTTTTACTTGTTAAATTTCAAATCAAACTCGTTACGAAAGTTTTAACAATGTCTTTATTTATTTTTCCATTGATAACTTTACAGTTAGGTATGGTTAACTTATGTCCTATTTTGGTTTCAGTTTAGAAATGTTACTTTATTCTTACAGACGTTTAAACTGACTTGTGTTTTGGCTAATTTTATCGGCGATAATGTACAACGCTTAACTGATTCACACATGCATTCTTAACTGTAGTTGATTTGATGTAAAACAAAACTTTTTAACAACGAAATTTTACGGTAGAAATGTGAAAAAAGATATTTTTGTGTTTCACTTGTTTCGAATGAGCTTGATAGAGTTGGTTTCTATTTTTTGGGTGATAGGTGCTGGCAGCTTGGTTAAGAATTGGAGCAAAAGGAGCCGTGTAAACGGCACGAGGATCCCTTAAAATTAATAAGTCACGAATGCAAAAAATTTTGCGAAAAACAATTTTTTCTTGACCAGTGTGTTTTATTTTTAGGTTTTTTTTCAATGTCATCACTCTGTGAAAATTCTTAAGTGATGCCAGTCATCTGAGTCATTGTTCTATTAAAAAACTATGAACGAAAATCTCGATGACTCGTAGATGATTACCCACCAACACACCACAATAGATGGGCACGGGCTGCTAAATGAATTTTAAACACCCCATCATTTGACACCCCGATATCAATGTCCCGCATCCAACCTAACGCACAAAAACCCGAAGCCAGACATTTAAATTTTATTGGGGAGTTTTATGACTTAGAAGAGACTGAAATGCAGCAGTGGCTCATCATCAAATTCATTATCTTAGGCTTTTAATATTTTTCATCAGCCCTTTTACCAGTTTTTGATACTAAATTTAACATAACTTTTCGCTTGTCGCGGTTTAAATCTTATTTATCTGATAGATCATTTCATGTGTCTGTTAACCATTTTGAGTCAAGTTCATATATCGTACGTTTATATAAAATTTTAAACTTTCTGGCATTACATATATCAATCGTTTGATTTTCATTCCAATCCTCATGTTGATGACTTATTTCTATAAGAGTAATAAAGCATCGCCACTTGATTAAATTATGTCTATGCTTGCTAGGTTTGTTTTTAGGCTTTGTAATAGCGATTAAGATACATAGATGAAAGATGCATTAGTTTACAATTAAAATGAATTTTTACGCAAAATTGCAAGAGTGCTCATTCATACAACGTTTCAGCAGGGAACTATCATTTGGTTGTTGAAAGGGTCATAACATTAATATAAACAGTAAACGAATAATAACAACATCAGGTATGTTCACCCTGTACATGAAAATAAATAAAACAACCTCCTATATAAGAAGTTTAAACTACTGTGTCTTTCGTGTAAAACAGTACGCATTTATTATATAGACTATTTCTAAAAAAAAAGACCATTTGTACAGTAAAAACAAGACAATAACACTACATAGATAAATTTGTGTTGCAGGGTCTGACAGGTTGGAATAAAATCAGATCACGCAATTTAATCAGGTAAGTCTAGAGAAACGGTTTTAACCGAACCTCTATTAAAATCGTCAGAAAGCATTATTGGATTTTTTGTGGAACATGGTATTGACTTTTTATTTAGTGTGGATGAAGTTGTATGAACATCAGCAGCAGGTCTATCCCGACTGCGAGTGTAAGAAATATTCCCTAAAAAATTGATAAAAGGTGTGTAAGTCATGAAAAAAACACGACGAAACCAACAATGAATGCTCACCATATTCTTGAATTATTGGACAGACGTCAATTAAACACGTGCAAAAATCTTTCCTGATGCCAAACCACCCTGAATGCGGGAAAATATAATATATATATATATATCAATATAAATCCAGCAGCGATTATAAAAAACGTAAAATAAAGCAAAATAAGTAAAAAGCAAATTGTATAGTTAGTAAATTAATTGAAAAATCCTGATTTACAACAACAAGTGTGTATAAAAATATTGTAACGAAGTATATACTCTTTTTATTCTGAAAACTTTTTTTAAAATGACTAGAGCTGAAGTCATGTGATCTCGAAATAAATATGAACTAATACTGAAACGAATTCTTTTCGCTGCAAAGTTATTTTAAAACTTTCTACGAAGAAAAATAAATAAAAAGAATAATTACAATAATTCGCTCCTCTGCTGTTGAATGACGTGACAATCAACGCCACCAGTGAAGCCAACAATGGTATGACAACCAAAACGTAAGGCATGTTGTCTATTTTGTCCAATTTATTCGTTAGCAAGACCTTTAAAGGTTAGTTAATAAACGAAATTACATAAGTGTACCAATAAACATCTGGGTGCAACCTACATTGAATACAAGGAGGGGTGTCACAATAAAAGTGTAACCAACTGCTGAAATGGTGTTATTTCTCTTTTGCTCGGCCATAACATCTGAAGATCTCAACAATATCAACGTCAGGATGATGACATAGAATACGCAAATGAGAGCTATGCAGAGCAGAATCCAAATTGGGATGAAAATTATCTAAAAGGTTATCAAGCAATATATCAAGCAACATTGGTTAGGATGCATTGTAATATTCAATAATAATCATTCATTCATTCATTCATTCATTCATTCATTCATTCATTCATTCATTCATTCGATATTCTATATAAGCAGTATTTTAAAGCATGGCAAAAATTAAAATTGCACAGAAAACAAATAAAACAACGCTTGTTAACAATCAATGTAACAACGTTAAAAAGTCAAGAAAAAGTTTACAAACCACCCATCTCCACTGAACGAAGTTGTCCAATCTCAGGGCGAAAAAAATAAATTGGAGTATGTTAGTGGAACAAAATATTTCAAACTGGATGACAAGTAAAAATTTAATAAAAATTAAGATGTTGTTGGTCGTTATTTAAACCTTTTCATCAAATAAAATAATTTGTAATAGGAAAAAGTATTAAACAACAAACTTCACACGATCTGCCATGCTTGAGAGCCCAAACACACAATCCAATTGAAATAACACTAATGCTAAACAAAGGAATGAATACAAACAACCATAAAACTTGGGTCCTGCATATTTATATAAACACATCAATCTTAATTTTGTAAATGTTTAAAAAAGTAACAAGAATTACTTGAAGAATATATGAGTTTTTATTTTTAATATAAACCAGGAGTACCAAATTAACTGCCTGTGACTTGATTTTTCTAAGCCCTCAGCAACATTTAAAAAATTTGTCTACATGATAAATATTCTAAAAGAAAAAAAAATCGATGCATTAAATTTTGGAAGTACATATTTATATAACCAATTATTTTCATACGTGAAGCTAAATTGAAGCGCATTGTAGATCCAGGCTGACCCACAAACATTTGTCTGTACTCAAAAAATTTGAGAAATCACAAATAGTGCAACTTGGTTCTGAATACGTTAGTAAAATAAGCAACTAGAAAGTTTGTGGGCGACTATGCAAGATATGGGTTGGAAAACAGATAGAAGTATTAAAAAACCAGTGATGTGGTAAACTATTTTTCGGAGATAGTACCATAAATTACCTTAAGTTCACTGATGATGGGATCTGCTAGTCTCTGGTGCAAATGACAGGCAGAGACTGATTTAAATAACGACAATGATGATGAAGATTATGGATTTCATATGGACATTGATAAAACCTAAAGTGATGATTTCCATGGTCAACGATAGAAATAGATTTTGGAAAACAACCATAAGAGTGGATTTCATCAACCTCAACTACTTTTATGAAATTTAAAAAAATCACAGATAGAATGAATGATTAAATAATTATATACAATTTTTTGGCATAGTGCACATTAGTTGAACTGAGATTGCAACTTGTTACCTTAGAAAAATTTTAAACCAGAAAATGATTTGATGATGTAATTAATAACAAACAGTAGATCAAAATTACGAAATAAAAAAATCAAAATATAAGTTTAAACACCTGTCATTCTCTAACTTGTCACAGGACATCAGCTCAAACATCAACAAAAGCATTTGCAGACTAGTTGCAATGATCATCGCTCGGAAGTGATTAGAAGAATCTCTTTCAATTCTGCATTAAACAAATTTTTAATTTGAAAAACAGAATCTGACAACAAAAAACTTTAAAAACTATTAATCCAATTAAGTCAGTTCAATGATTGTTAAATAAATATTTTAAAGAGAGAAATCATTGAAAAAAATTTGTATATAAACCTATAATGAGGATTTCGAATCCAGATGAAACATCCCACAATGCATCCAACCAAAGCTGCTCCTTTCCAAATCCATAAAGGAATGAAGATGACCCAGTAGCTGCATCTTATTTCATCATCAAGTTTCAAAGCCAACAGCAAACAAAAGACAAGCAAGCAGCAGTGTACAAAAAATTTGCTGTCAATTAATTTAAAAATTATTCAAATTAGTTTAAAAAATTTTTTTCATAAATATTTTAATGACTAATTATGGATGCAAAAATTCCTTACAACATTGTTAAAAATATAACCAAACCAATACAAAACAGAAACTATGAATTATTGCTCTAAAAAATACAGCAAACTTTTTATTAATAAATCATTCAACAAAATGGCTAAAAAATTTTACAGGAAAATTAAAAAATGAAAAAACCACAACAAATCAAACCTTGGATTGAAATCTTGAAAAGAATTCTTCAGGTTGAATTCATATGCCATTTATAATTTAAAACAATGAAATTAAACTTTTTAAAACTCAAAGAAATTTTCTGAAATAATGCAATCAATAAAGTTACATTTTAAAATTTAAAGTGGTTTTAACTATTCAAACATATATTACTGATTTAGTAAGTATTATAAGACATTCAAAAAATTTAAAAGCATATATGTAAAAAATTAAGTCCTTACAACTGCCAATTCAAAGTTAACATTCTAAAGAAATAAACTCACGACTGTCTGACTTCCACAAATATAAGCTGATATCTTTGAATTAACCTAATCCAAGCTTAGATTTCACAGAAATTATTTTTGACTTTTAAACAATTACTTAGAAAGTTTTATAAATAGTTCTTATATCTCTTAAAAAAATTATCAAGTAAAAATTTGTAATTGATTTTTAAAAACTTAGCAAAAATGTTTCTAAAATGCCTGAGATAATAATAGCATTTTGGAATGTTATTTTATAAATCAGATATTTTCATTTATGGTCACATGAGCTTTCTATTTATTTCATCAATTGTTCTGTAACTTAAGTAATAATCTGATGATAATTACACAAAACATGCAACAATACCTTCAGAAGTAATGCAGATTTTTCTATTTTCTTTTTAGTGATTTGTATGACCTTTCATCAATCATCAGTTATTTTTTAGCATACCAAACTTTTAGGTCATCACTTAGCATTTGCCTACCTTGCTGTAACTTGGCAGCAATACTTCTTAAAAAATGTGGTAGTGTAATTTCTCTTAAAAATTATTAATGCATTGCAGTGACTAGGTTTAAATTGAATTAGAATTGAATTAGAGAATCAAGTAGATCACTCATAATACACAATGAGTCTGATGAGATCTGATGTGATGCATTGAATACTTGCACACACTCATCATGTCATTAATACAGTAATACAGCAGAAATATAAAACTAAGAGAGAATAACTGAGCTTCATAAAAAGAAATGAATTGAATATTGAATAAAAAAAATTTTTAAATATAGAAAAAAATAACAAATCAAACATTTCTCACCTAATTATTAGATCCTAATAGATTAGATTAGAATTTTTTAGAGAGTTATTTATAAGAATTAAGAGACCGCAATGCAGCTATACTCCCAAAGCTCATCAAATTCATCATATCTTATTGTTGCTGAAAGCTGAGGTCAGAGTGAACACTGAACAGAAACAGTGGTGGTGAATGCAACAGCCAATCAATAGTATAATATGGTTATTAAAGGTGAAAACCAATAATTGAACAGTAAACAAATGTCAACTAAACTATGAGTGTTCAGTTATTAAATTAAAGTGTCAATCTATCAACCAAGAACTAAACAGAAAACCAAATTCAAAATGTCAAAAAATCAAAAATCAATTAATTTAATTAGATTTTAATTTGTAAATTAAAATTATGGCAATTTAATTTGTACATTAAAACGATTAAATCAGATTTTTATTAATTATTTCAAGATTTTCATTAATTATTTCAATTCAATTCAAACAAAACACTACACTAAACCACCAGTGGCCTAAACAAACTGCAACTACCAAAATTTCACAAATTCATAACAAAAATATGTTAGGAACGGCCTATTTGACTTCATTGGCTTATTGGCTTACTTACGAGATAGCATGGGTTTCAACCAAGGGGAGGCCTATTTACCATTATACAACACTTTCTTATGGGTTGAAGAAGGGATATGCAAAGAATCTCAATTTTTGCAACTTTTAATTATTTTCGGTAATGTCGATTTTGTTTAAATTTATACCAAATAAAAGTAATTAATTACCATATTGAATAACAATTTAAAAAAATAAAATTTTAACATTTTAAATAAAAGCAATATTCCGTAATTAGTAAATATACTATCGTAACTATTGACTCGAACGAAAAAAAATCACTCTCCATCTCCCCTCCAGAAGTAAGCTCCTTGTTCGACCATTGAAAGTGAGCGATGGCCGTTATATTTATTCTAGTTATATGTATCAAACAGATTTTATTGAACAAAATAGTATCATAAAATGAATAAAGATACTTTTTTTTAATTTAAAAAATTCTCAATTTGATTTCATTGCGATATTGATGATGATTGTGACCTGACTAATTAAAAAACATCAAATAAAATTTATAAAAAAGGATGGGTATATCGTTGAGAAATCGTTGGGGGAAATGACGTCATGTTAACAGTAGTTATTTCACTAGATGGTAGTTGATCAGCCTGTATAAAGGTTTTATTCAATTCCTATCAAATAAATTAACCAAATATC